GACCAATTTCGTTTGAATCTCCAACTTATAATGTCTAGACCCATTTAATTTTTATATATCATAAAATTAATCATTTAGTTCTTTTATAAGAATGTAATATCAAAATTTAATAATTGATTGCATATAATTAACTAAACTAAAGTGTCATAGTTATAATATCATGAATATTTATTGTTAGAGAAATTTTATAATTGATTATGGAAAGTAATAAATGAGTTTGTTTAAATTGTAAAGTATTTATATAGTTAGAGAAATATAAGGAAAGACTAAAAATGTTAGTCTAATGAAAGGGTCCAAACAACTTTTTTAAGTAGATTTATTTAGACTCCTTCTCTTTTAATAGTATATAGATACCATAACTAATGAGTAACCCTGAATGATAACTAACATAACACATGATTATTTTATGCATCTCCTAGCTTTATATGTAATCAGCCCTACAATATTATGCTCTCAAGTCGTAGACCAAAATTCAGATAAACATTCACACATATGTCATATATATTCAGTTAGGCTTGCATAACATTGTAAAGTTAAAATTAAATAATATATTCATCAACACATTATGCAATCAACAATCGTTTCAATATATAAGAGTTGAAGATATTATATTTTAAGGTGTTCAAAGTATTTACATCAGAGTAAACATATTGTTTTCTGATTACTTCAAATTAAAGTATTGTTTTAGATAATAATGGACTGACAAGATTTCGGGCACGCAGTGCGACGACATGTTAGGCGATTGAACTGAAAGTGAATCTTGATTAATTTGGATTTAAGAAAAGTATAAGCGAATAAATTAAAAGAAGTTAGTGGATGTAATTCACTTACTAGGAAAAAAACATACAAAAAATGGGAAGCACAAGGGATGTGCGTATTTTGTTGCATGGGGAGATATTGACAAAGATCGTCGAGTTGGGTTTTCTTTTTTATCGACAAAGATCGTCGAGCTGGGTTTTCTTAATATACAGTTTAGTAATTTGAGGCATTAGAAAACTCATTGGATCGTATCCTGTGATATTACATATCATATAACTATATAATTGTGTATTATATACTTCCAAAGCATAACGAGATCAGATTTTGATAAATTGTCAATCGAGGAAACTGTGTTATGTAATTTATTAAATATGCTTATTAGCTATAGTCCATATATGATATATGAATAGTAGCATTACAGTTACGTGTTTGATTATCGTCCTCAAACACAAGCTACTTGTTTTCGTCCTACACACTAGGACTGGATGCAAATCGGATACTTATTAATTTTGGCATATCCAGTACTTGACTTATCCCATACAAGTATCACAAATATATACTTGTATTTGTACTTGATTAATTGAGTACTTGTTAACCAAGTAATTACTTAATATTTAAAATATTTATAAATTACTTGGTTAAATTTGTTACTTGTTTGTTTATGTTTAAAATCTTAAAAATCAGCATCTTCAAATTTTAAAATATATAGTAGGATTGTTTTTAGCCATATATATATATATATATATATATATATATTCATAGGAAACTATATAAGATTTTTAGTATTATAATCAACACAATAATTTTTAATATCACTTTAATATTTAAGAAAACATATTTCTAATCTTATATTAATAATGGTTTTCTCAAATAATCATTAGCAAACTTTAATAAATTTTATAATTTAATACTAAAAATGAGTAATAAATAATAGTAAACCGATTAGTTAAAAAAAAAAGATTTTATATTTGATTTGTACTAGCAAATTTTTAATTTGATATACTTGTTACTTGTCTTAATCATTGCAAATACTTGGTTTAAAGACCAAGTATCAAACAAATACAAGTACTAACAGGATATCAAGTATTTGTGTTCAACCATACTATACACCCACACCCACACAAAAAAACTCTTATTAGAATATCTTCTAAAACTCCTACTCCATAGATATAAGGAAAAAAATAGTATTGGCATTTTTTTGGGTGATTAATATTGGATTTAAACTGATATAAATATTGGGTTTAAGCTCATCTTACAATAAAAATCTTTAATTTCCGGCAAATCTAAAATCCCTCAAGTATCTTATTATATAAAGTTTTATCTTTTTTAAAAAAAATGCTAATTAACCTGATGTTTTAAGAGTCTTGACGTGATTAGTTATAATGTTTCCAGCTCTAAATGCGTTTGTAATATTAATTAGTCGTAATAATGTATAATTTTGTTATGATGGCACTTTATTACATTTATATATGTTAGTGATTTGAAATTAACAATGACTCTTATAATTTTGATGTGTTAACAATCACGGATTACATAAAGTTATTTTCAAAAAGATTTATATTTAGTATTTTTCTTTCTACCTCAAATTGTTAATTAATTGGTTATAAGAAATTGTAGAAAAACACTGAATTCAAGACATTTGAAAAAGAATAATAAACTTATAAGAAGGAACTATCTTTTTTTTTTTGATCAAACATAAACTTCATTAGTCGAGAAGGTTTTACACTCCAGTAATGGAGTCCATTTCAAGCAATGCAAGAGCTGATTTTGCCACACCATCAGCTAGAACATTACTCAATCTCGAAACATAGGAAAAAGAAACAACATTGAAAGAGGAACTAAAACAATAGATGTCAAACAAAATGCCATACAAAGTTGGGATAGAACCTCCTTCCTTTAGTAACTTGACCAAAGATAGGGAATCTGATAGAATCGTAAGGAATTTTACATTTGACGATGCGGCATACATAACCGCAGAACGGATGGCAAGGGCCTCAGCCATTAATACCGATGAAACCAAGCAACGAGACTCACTGATAACAGAACCAACCAAAGTAAGAAGTGTAGACCTTTACATCGGTTTCGTTGGGATCAGTTAGAGTTTGGTTGGTCCGGTTTTTTGCCCCCCTCTAATTCAAACTTCCTAGAAACAGACACCTTCATAACAATCTCCTCATATGTGTTCTTAATTACACAATCCATGGTCCAACAAAACCTTCCTTTAACCTAATGTTTTGAAGCAAAACCAGCCTATACATGCTGTCACACCACTTTTCTCATAAACTTGGCTCGCATATTATAATTCAGAAATCCTGAGAGAACACAACATCAAAAGCCAGTTATTAAACTGTCCATTACTAACCTTCAACATCTCCGACAAGGGCATACGAACCCCCATGTTCCTTAAGCAACCTAATGCCTCGGCTTTAACTTCCTCTCCAAGCTAAAAGAAAAGTATTGAGGAAACCTCTTCACCTCCTCAACACTGTACGTCAACAACGCCGGAGACCTCATTACCATCTTCGCCACCTCATCTTTCGTAAACCCTAAAACCTTTCTTCAAGAAACTCAATCTTCGGGACAAGCGTTCAACACAAGCAAAACCGTGTTCCGCACGTAATCACGTCGTGTCCCACGAACCCTAGGATTTTGAGAAACGCTAACGCCGGACGGAGCTGAAAATCTACTGAGGAGATGAAAAGTCATGGACAGCAAGATATCAACTTCGGGAGATCTTGCTCGGAGATCGAGATCTCTTCGGACAAGAAGTTAAGAACCGGTAAGAACAAGTAGATTAACATTGAAACGACATCGTTTTGGAAATTTAATTTTTTCCCGGCAATAACAGTTAGAAAACATTAACACGGCGTCATTTCACCGAGTAATGGTAATAACAGTTAGTTTAACAAACAAAAACGTCGTCGTATTTGCGAATTATTTAATTTTATGTTTTCTTCGTCGTCTTCTCCAATGGGTGATCCCTATTCTCAAGCAGCTCTATCAGAAGACCGTTAATTTCGCAGAGTCTCATGTAATCATCTTCTTCTCTGTCTCTCTCTCTGCCTCTGGTTTTGATTGTACCTAAGTTTTTTCGAGAGGTCCTTTTTAAGATCTCCCCTCATGGTTAGTATCCGCTTGGCGTTTGAATTTGCTTCTTTAGGTAACTTTCAAAATTTTCTCTCCCTTTCCTTTTCCATCAAGTTAACGATTAGGGTTTTTAAAAACACTTGCAAAGATCTCATCTTTATTTAAAACCCACATTGATGTGATTTGAATCATTATCTGGTTTGTGTTTTATGGATTTAGCAGGATGGGAAGGGTAAAATTGAAGATAAAGAAGTTGGAGAACACAAACGGACGCCAAGCAACGTTTGCTAAAAGGAAAAATGGGATCTTGAAAAAGGCTAATGAGCTTTCTATTCTTTGTGACATTGATCTTCTTCTTCTTATGTTTTCTCCTGGTGGTAAAGCTTCTTTATGTTGCGGTAGAAGAAGGTAATGTTTTTTGTGTGTTGTGTTTTGTTTTGTTGTCTGATTTGTAACGGTTTGTTGATTTGTTTTTTTTTATTTTTATTCTTTTCAGTAGCATTGAAGGGGTGATTTCTAAGTTTTCTCAAGTAACACCGGAGGAAAGAGCAAAAAAGTTTGCTTTCTTTTCTCTCTTTCTTTTAAGATTATTATTGATATGTTTCTTTCGGTTTTGCTCACTTGTTTTTTTCTTGTTTTACTTTTTGCATTTTGAATACAGGAAAGTAGAGAGTCTTGAAGTAAGTTGTTGTTTCACACTATCAAGTTTGATTCCAATTCTTGAGAAGCTTTTTGTTTGGTCACTGATTCAAGTGTGTGTTTTGAAAGCTCAGATCTTGAAGAAAACGTTTCTGAAGTTGGATCACACTGTAAATATACGAGAACTTATAGCCTCAAGGTGAGTAGCAGAAACAGTTTATACAAGAAAACTTCATACACTATATATTAACTTAACTTTTGCTTTTTGTCTTTTTTGGTTTCAGTAATCCAACAACAGAGGTATTCACTTCAAGACTCTCTTACATTTTCTCACCTCGAAGCCTAGAACTTTGTAAATCCGTGTTTTTTCTCAGGACTTGAGTACTCAAGCAAGTATCTTGCAAGCTAGAATCTCTGAAATACATGGAAGATTAAGGTATAGATCTTTCTGAAGTTGATGATTCGTCCTTTCTTGTTGTTAGTACATTGTATTCATACTTGTTTGTATCATGTTCTGTAGTTATTGGACAGAACTCGATAAGATAAACAACGTTGACCACTTGGGACAGCTTGAGATTTCCATCAGGCAATCTCTTGATCAATTGCGTGCTCATAAGGTATCATTTGTTATAAGAAAATAACCATTTCAACTTCATTTCAGCTGCTCAAAAACTTGTGGTTGATAGGAACATTTAGGGCAGCAGCAGCAACAAGCAATGCAAATAGAAAACGAAAACTTTGTTAAAGATTGGTCAACATGCTCGGTAATTTACTCAAATGATTCTTCTTTTGATCTCTCACTGAAAACAATCTGAAGCTTTGACTTATAAACTTTACAGTTGCAAGATGGGATTGAGATTCCTTTAGAACAACAGCTTCAATCCATGTCATGGATACTTAATAGCAACAACACAACCAACATTGTCACCGAGGAACATAATCCAATCCCTAAGAGGTTAGCTAAAAAAGCTCTTCACATTTTTTCGTCTTCTAATTCTGAATCATTTCTTAAATGTGTTTACTCTAAAGGGAAGTGGAGTGCTCTACGAGTTCTACATTTGGGAGCTATCCTAGCTACTTTGGAACAAGGAAATCTTCAGATATTAATGGTCAAGAAACAAGTTTTCTTGATGAATTCACCACTACCAACAGAGATATCAAACCGCAGCTATGCACTAATAATAACATTATCCCATATAATCCCAATATGCAGAATGATTTGAATCATCACCAAACATATCCTCCTCCTCTTCCTCCAGTTTTGAACTTTCCAATGAACCAGAGAGAGTATCATATGAATGGATTCTTTGAAGCACCACCACCATCTGGTACTTCTGCTTATAACAACAACAACAACAACAACCAGGCAAGGTTTGGTTCAAGCAGCAGCTCCTTGCCTTGCTCAGTCTCCATGTTGGATGAATACTTGTTTTCCATGCAGCAACCGAACTGAGAGATAGATTTGATGTTTGATGATAGAACATATTATTGAAGAAGTCACCAACACAAAACACTTGCAGGTTTCTGAATTGGTTCCAAGAAGAAGTAAAACTTAGTGGTGGATTCTGGTAGAGTGCATGCAACCCACACACAATATGTTTTTATGATCTTCAATAGGTGTTTTTGTGTTGATTTTTTTGTCCGGCAAATATGTTTAGTGTGAATGTGTCTCTTTGGAGGCAGTCAAAGTAACGCCATGACGGCCAAAGATGATGAGAAAAAAATTTCTCTATTCTTCCCCTTCCCTACAAAACTATAGCTGTATCTTTTCTTTTCATTCTTTGTAATACAAAAACAAACGATGTTTATTAATTAATTTAAAAAACATTTATATGTACATATAGCTTTGTCTTGTGCATTGCATATATTCTGTGAAGCTTCTGAAGAGTCACCAATTTTACCAAATTTAGTTACTATTTAGAAGTCATGTTGGACCATATCATTAATTATTTAATTTGATTTATTTGTTTGTTATATTAACCAGTCAAAAATATATTATTTTCAAAATATCTTAATAATTAATAAATATATTAATAATAAATAAATTTAAATATAACAAAATCTGTTGAAAAAATTTAACAAGATCTTACCAAAAAATTTAAATATTTTTTTTATAAAATAAATATTTCTTTATTTTGTTATTAGATATAATTATAATTAAAAATAAAATATAAATTATATATTTAAAAGTTTTAGTTATATATTTATAAAATGGAAAATATACCCGCACGGATGTGCGGGTGAAACTCTAGTATTATCTTATAAGACACATCCATCAGGACAAAGAAAAAAAAAGCAGACCCTAAATCCGAAACCAAATCAGTAAAAATAGCAAAACGGATTTTATTTATGTTGTATTTATGATGTAGGCCTATGCATTTTATCCAGATCTGGGGATTGGTTCGAGTTTAAAACATGAACCTGTAATTTTATCCTATTGAGTCTAGTGATGGAAGATCCATGCATAGCAGATTCGGGTCCATAACCGACCTGGGATCCGATCTGATCGGATATTTTTGAAACTGAAATTTATCAGACCTAATGACTTATTCTAGAACCGATGCACCGTTCATACTCTTTTTGTCAATGGTTATGGTTTTATGTTCGGGTAAATATGCAAATACATGGGTAAAAATAGATTCGGAATTCACATTTAAGACCTAAAATATGTGGAACCGATCCAAAATTCTAAGAACCAACCCAAAATATGTGATATTTACACGAAAATGGACCCGAAACACCCATAACCGACCTGATACCATAAAGATCCCAAAAAATTTGGGTATTAACGGGTCTGAGACAAGTGGACCCAAACCGATTCGAATCCGACAAGACCAACTGATCCGAAAAGTTATAGGTACCTATTTGAGTCCAAATGTACAAGATTCGAAAGACTTGGACCTGACAAGACATGACAAGACCCGATCCGAAGATCCGGATGCTCAGACCTATTATGACGAATCAGAGTGATATAGTTAGACGTGATCTTTATAAAATATGTAGAATTAGTTTGTACGTTTTTGTGAACAATTATTTTTGATTCATAATAATATGATTAAAAAAAAATATTGACCAAAAAAAAAGAAAAATCAAAGTCCAAATTTCGAACACAGGCCCCATCATAGGCCCATCTTAAATTTTTTAAGATTAGTACATATCTCAATTCCGGCGAACTTATCGGGCACAATCACTTAAGAACACATCCCATTCCTCCGATTCACCAGGAGCCAATCAAACCAAGTTTCTCTTAAGGAATTAGGGTAAGAAAATCGTCGATAACTCTTTTGTATCAATGGATACATCAACGCAGCCACAGGGCCAGCCGCAGCAACCTCCTCCGGTGGCTGAGAAGCTGAATCAGGAACTTGTACAGCTTCTGAATCTAGAATCCATAAAGACACGAGCCGAAAGCTTGTTCAAGGCTATTTCTCGGATCCTTGAAGATTTCGACGGTTATGGTCGAACCAACACTAATCCTAAATGGTTTGTGTTTTTTTTTTTTTTTTTCTGTCTTTCTTGTTTTGTCTTTATGAAAAGTTGTCTGAATGGAGATTGTTTAAACAGGCAGGATATTCTTGGGCAATATTCTATGGTGAATCTTGAGGTTTTTAACATTGTGGAAGAGGTGAAGAAAGTCTCCAAGGCCTTTGTTGTGCTTCCAAAGAATGTTAATGCTGAGAATGCTCAAAGTAATGTTCCTTTCTTAATGGATGTTTTGCTTCAGAAATAGAATCAATGTTCGAGAAATCGCTAGGCAGTTTATTGATTGATTAGGCGGGCGTCTAGACCGATTTTTAAGAAACTCAATTCTAGAAAAATCTAATTTACCGACCAAGCATCCGCGTGGTCGGTAAATTAGACCTTGAATGCTGCAAATCTTGAATCTTGGATGCTTTGCTTGGAATAGAATCAATGTTTAAGAAATTGCTAGGCGGTAGATATGGGCTTTATATGACTTATTGAACTTCTAAACCGATTTTTTTTTAAAACTCAGAGTTCTAGATGTGAATCCGTTTAAGGCAGGTAGAATTGTCGGTTGTAATATCTTCTATGTAATATTTCTCATAATTTGTAATGCATAATTAACCAGTGTTAAAAAAAAAGAGAAATCGTTTAGGTCCGATTTACCGACTAATCAGACTACCTAAGCGCTATCTGGACTGATTTTTAGAACACTGCATGAATTATCGAATCTTGAATCTGATGAAATGGGTTTTATGTGATGTTCAGTTTTACCGGTTATGTTGTCTTCTAAGTTACTTCCGGAGATGGAAGCTGATGACAACGTCAAGAGAGAGCAGTTGCTCCAAGGCGTTCAGAATTTGCCTGTACCAATGCAGATTGATAAGCTAAAGGTGTGAGAGTTATTATGCATTTTTTTTTGGGTTTTAGGATTTTTTTGGCTGAAGATTCGTTTCTTTTTTACTAGGAGAGGATGGAATTGATTTCAAAAGCTTGTGAGAGTGCTGAGAAAGTATTAGCTGATACTCGTAAAGCCTATGGATTTGGCGCACGTCAAGGCCCATCTATGCTTCCAACTATGGATAAAGGTCAACTTGCAAAGATTCAGGAGCAGGAGGGCATGCTACGTGCTGCTGTAAATGATGGTGCAGGTAAGATAGACAATAAACAGCAACTCCTGTTTTCTTCTTTTCTCAATTCCATCTCATGTTTTTTTTTCCTTTACGATTGTGTGTCTAGGAACAAGACTACCTCCTGACCAGAGACAGATAACCACTGCACTTCCCCCGCATCTGGTAGATGTGCTTTTCGTTAACGATGCAGGTAGAGATTTGATTGATCTTTCGCTCTATTATCAGTGGCGTTCTGGTGGTAGTGATGAGTTTGAAATTCTCTTTTTCATTAGGCAAGAGTGCGTTACCTGTGCCATCAAACAACATCAACAGTCAAGGAAATATGATGCAGGTTCGTCTATTCTTCTCTAGTTTTGATGATTATCACTTGTGTTAGAATCATTGCCTACGGAGGTTTCATGTCTTTGAGTATTTTTTAAGGTTTCTGGAACACAATTTATGGGAAGATCGGCTGCATCTCCATCTAATGCTAACTTTGACACTACAAGGTCTCCTTTACCATATTCCAATTCGCCTCAATCCACGGGTATGCTTAATGCCCCTTCGCCTCAGCAACAACAGCTTCAACAGCAGCAGCAAAGGTCGAAACTAATGCAGCAGTTGCCTCAACATCAACAGCAACTACTTGCACAACAACAACAGCTCAGGCAGTCTTCTATGCAAACATTGGGTCAGGTTGGCTTTAGCGTTTGTCTTCATACATTGGTAGTTCTTCACTAACCTTACTGTTATCTGTTAATTGGAATATTTGTATCAACTTTGTATAGAGTCAGATGCCATCACTCCACGACTTGCAAGCTCCGCAGAAGTTTCAGTCGGTAAGTTCCTGTTCTATCTTCTTGTTATTTTATTTTTACTCTGTTTAAGTTTAGGATTGTGTTTTGTTTACCAGTTACATGGGCAACAACAACATCAAATGCCATATTCTCAGTCAATGGGACACCAACAATACCAAGCTAGACAGCTCTCAGGGGGACATATTCAGCACGGCATGTCTCAAGGACAGCTCAATCCAGCGATGATGAACCGTCAGTTGAACCAGTTTTCAGGTGGAGCAAATAGTGCAATGTTTACATCTGCACAAGGCTCCCCAAGTAGCCAGATGGTGAGTCACCTCTCTTTAAAGCTCCTTATTTAATAACTAATTATCTGTTGTTGATTTGCTTATTTGGTTTGGTGTTGGCTTTATGCTTAAATTTTAGATACCAAACATGTCATCTATGCAATCTCAGACACTTAATCCTAGGATGCAGGTTAGCTCAAAACTCCCCCACGTCACTATGCTCTTTTAAAGATTAAATAAAAACATAGTTACTAAAATAACAATGAACAAGTCTTAATCTGATGTCTCTGGATCTGGTTGTTTTCAGCAATATGGAGTTTCGGGTACCAATGCCCAAAGAGGCCATGCGTCTCAAATGTTGGGTGACCAGAGTAAGAAGTTTTCTAAACTCTCTAAAACATGCTTTCTTACACTTAGACTGCTAACTCTTTTTTATCCTATTGCCGTTTCTTGCAGTGTTTAACAGCAGTGGAATGATGCAAACTCAACAGTCGCAGCAACCACAACAGCAACAACAACAACAGCAGCAGCAACAGCAAGGAGGCTATGGGAATATGCAAACCAATCAGCAGAATCTACAGCCTAACATGTTGCAAAATCCTCAACAAAGGCACCAAAACCCTCAATAAAACTTCCCCTCTTCTTGTATGACTTCTTGGGCTTAGTAATAAGACCCTTTCCAACTCGTGGTTATAACGTACTAGTATGTGCGTGGCCAATTCTTAATTTCTAAGACAAGGTTTAGGTTGATGAGGAAATAATCCTTTTGATCTTAAGAGGATGTGAATTGGAAATCTTACAAGATTTATCATAAAAAAGTGAAAAATACAAACATGCAAATACTTTAGTAAGTTGGAAATTAATACCAAAACCATAGTAAGTTGGAAATTAATACCAAAACCATAGAAAAACAAATGTAAATTAGAATTAAGTAAATCTGTTAAAATATCTCAAGATATTTCAAAACCAATAAATCAGTCAATGTTATGGTTGCAACTGAAATGTTAATTCTAATGAAATGATGTGGGATGATTTATTTGATTAATTCCAAAAGATTACTATTTAATCTAATGGGATATAGTACTCATTTTATCAATTTTACAATCATTCAAAAATAAATACAAAGAAAAAGACTTATAAACATTCTTTTACAATATGATTATGGGTCAGTTGAATGAATATATCTCAGTTTTAAATTAATTCCTATCATTTTATTTAATTAATTTCATTTTATTTATGAATACTATTTGTGTCGATTATGATACCCAATGTTAGATTCTTGTTTTAAAGTTTTGGCAATTTTTTTTTTTGGTAAGAGTGTGGGAGATGCCTCCCAATAGTTTTAAAGTTTTTTTTTTGTTTTAAAGTTTTGACAATTTCTTAACTTGATTCCACTCTCTCTCTCTGTTAATTTCTAGGTTTTTTTAATTTTTTGACACCCAATAATTTTTCTTGTTATTAGTGCTTCTATTTATAATTTTTTTTGTTATATGCTTCATTTATGTTTACAAAATAGTCTTCCGTTACAAAAAAAAAAATATATCGGTTACCATTTACTGAGTTACCAATTGAAAAAAGAAATCCACATTGGTGATACAGAAGAATGTCATCTAACCAATGATAACACGAGTCTGATGTAATAAACACGTTACGGCAACCAATCATATAACTCCGTGTCACTAACTAGGTCACAGCCAGTGATGTTAACAGTCATATAAATTAAATATCTTCTTCTTCTTCTCTTCTTCCACTTCTCAGAAACTTTTTAAATTTATAAACAGATCTGGTGGAATTTAATCTCTTGACCCCACCACACCACTTGGATCTCTCTCTCTCTATACATTCATCAGTTTTTTCACAGAGTAAACCGAAACTCAGAACCGAATCAATCATGAAGAATTCTGAGCGATTCGCTAATCTCGCTCTCGCAGGTTCAACTCCTCGATTCCTTTCTGGGTTTTGATCCTGATCGGTTTTACAATGATGTGATTGTCTTCTTTGGTGATTTCATTACGAAATTCGTTAACTTTTTTTTTCGGTTTAATTGGTTACTCAATTTTGTGATTTTGGGGCGGTTACATCTCTCTCTAGGGTTTAGAATTGATGTGGGTTTGATTAATTTTGTTCAAATTGTTGACCCGAGTGGTAAAAATTGAATCTTTTTGGTTTGGGTTTCAGGTTTGACGGTGGCGCCGCTTGTTGTGAATGTGAACCCGAACTTGAATGTTGTTCTTACGGCGTGTCTCACGGTCTACGTGGGTTGTTTTCGTTCGGTGAAGGATTCTCCTCCAACTGTAAGAACATGCAACTAGTAGGAGATTGTGTTTTGAACAGTTCTTGATGAAGCTATTTGGTTTAAGTTGTTTTGTTTTTGGAATGATTGTAGGAGACGATGTCTAAAGAGCATGCAATGCGTTTTCCATTGGTTGGGAGTGCTATGCTACTCTCGCTTTTCTTGTTGTTTAAGTTTCTCTCGAAGGACTTGGTTAATGCTGTGCTCACAGCTTACTTCTTTGTTCTTGGGATCGTCGCTCTTTCGTATGTCTAATTCTGAATTTTGCTTTTTCTTGTATCTTTGGTTGAGTGTCATGGCTTGTCCTTTTTCCTGATACACATTTGTGTTTCTTTGCAGGGCGACATTGTTACCTGCCATCAGCAGGTTTCTGCCAAAACCATGGAATGACAATCTTATCGTCTGGCGTTTTCCTTATTTCAAATGTATGTAACTTTAATTCACTTGCTTTGCTAGCCTTTTCGTTCTGTATAGTTGGATGTGATTTTGGTTGAGTAATGATCATCCAAACTTTTTCTTAAAACAGCTTTGGAGGTAGAGTTCACAAAGTCCCAAGTCGTTGCGGGGATCCCTGGAACCTTCTTCTGCGCGTGGTATGCTTGGAAAAAACATTGGTTGGCTAACAACATCCTTGGCCTTTCCTTCTGCATTCAGGTTACTTCCTTTCCATTCTGAGGAATACAATCTAAGAGATCAGTTAACTATGTGACTCCATTAACAACAACTTTCTTTGAACTGGCATTAGTGTTGTGTGTGTCTTTTTAGTACTTAACGATGTGGTCAATACAGGGAATTGAGATGCTCTCTCTTGGATCATTCAAGACTGGTGCCATCCTTTTGGTAAGAATGAAATTTCTGATTTGCATCTTAATAAATGATAATATTCTTGAAAATCATTTGTGATTTTTGTTTATAAACTGACTTACAGGTTGGACTGTTTTTCTATGATATCTTCTGGGTTTTCTTTACTCCGGTTATGGTTAGTGTTGCCAAATCCTTTGATGCACCCATAAAGGTTAGTAAAAATGTCTCAAATGTACATAAAGCAAAATTAATATGATTTGTTCTGGGTAGTTTTGTTAGTGATCTCATTGTTGCAATTTCTTTTCAGCTTTTGTTCCCTACGGGGGATGCTCTAAGACCCTATTCTATGCTTGGGCTTGGTGATATTGTCATTCCGGGTATGTACTCTAAGACCAATGCATAATGCATAACTCAATATTCTTGGGTCATGATTTTGGATGGTATATGAGTATGACATTAATTTTTGTTCTCTTCTTAGGTATCTTTGTTGCACTGGCTCTAAGGTTTGATGTGTCAAAACGTAGTCAACCAAAATACTTCACAAGTGCATTTGTGGGATACGTTGTTGGAGTTGTCCTCACTATTGTAGTCATGAACTGGTTTCAAGCAGCACAGGTCAGTTTCTTATTGCAACCTGATTTTTTTTGGGATTTGTAGCGAACCTAATTAAAGGTTTACTGTAACGGTAACTGGTGATGGGAATATGTAACATTGTTGTAGAACTTTCCAAACTCACAGGCTTTAGATGGAACTGATGGGTTCTGGTTTGTGTTTTGTCTCTGTTTCAGCCTGCTTTGTTATACATTGTCCCAGCCGTCATTGGGTTCTTGGCTTCTCACTGCGCTTGGAACGGTGACATCAAACCGGTTTGTCTTCTCTTGCTTGTAGGTTTTTGTTGTTGCAGATTTAGTCAAATGCTTATGGATTGTTGTGTTATGCAGTTGTTGGCGTTTGATGAATCATCTAAGAGTACTGAGGAAGAAGTTAGTAAGGCTCATGAAGAATGAAGAGACAGTGGAGTAAAAAGGGCAGAAGAGCTATATTTATACACATAGATGTGTTCTTATATGTATGGAAACAAAGAAGGAAAACAATTTTTTTTTGTTTCCAGTGATCATCAGTCCCTTCAAAAATAGTTAACCGTTTTTTGTTTTTTTTTTAGATGTTTTCAAACAACGTTTTCGCAAAGACTTGTGTAAGTTATTAAGTTACAACAGGTTTCGTTTTTACTTGTGATATTAGCCAGGTTTCCTTTTACTTGTTTCTTTGCTCGCCAATGTACATTTTGATTGGAAGCTGTAAAATCTTCAGGATGACAAGTCGATAAAAGGTTACATACATTAGAATGTTGCAACATTTGCTTTTAAATTGTTTTATTTTTAAGATTCAACGAGAAGATTGAAGTAGCTCCTTATTGATGCTGTCGAACAGAACTAATGTGCACTTCTTTTTCTTGAAAATGTGTTGCTAGTGACAGAACTAATAAAGAACTCTCATAAGACAACTATCCTCCTACAATGTGCTTTCGAAGTTAGATATCTCAAAGTCGTTTGATTCTATACATTTTGAGTGTTATCCATATAGAGGTAAATGCCCGCAACTCTGTTTAAAAATATATATATATATATATATATATATTATTTGATTAAAATCGTTACTATTTAAAATGATATTTGTTACTATTAAAAATGATCTTTATTGATTAATGTAAATAAAAAAATTATCAACCAATTAAATTAAAATGATTAGTTTAGAAACTTATATATGAACGATATCGAAGTGAAAATTAGAGTTAAGTGATTTCACTTTTAATATATAAAAGGTAAGATATATATAACTCATAATTATGCATAGAAAAATTATATGATATAAATTAGTTTCAAGAGAATATTAAAAAAAGGAAAAATATGTTCACCACATTAAGGATTCTTTTCCTTTGAGTGGAACAAATACTCTATATTAATTACGAGCCTATAAACGAACTGCTAAAAATCCAATAAAATCCAAGCCCATTAATACTCTCCACAACGCGTGTCTAACTTCAAAGAAAAACCCTCAATTAACCCAAACCACAACAAACAACCTTCGAATCCTTCCCACAACCATTCTCTCAGCTCCTCCTCCTCATCTCCATTCCTAGGGGTTTCTTTTATCTCTCTGCAGCAGAAGAAGAAGACGATTATTAGCTCAAATCTTCTGGTACGCTCAATTCCCAATCCCGCTACTCAATTTCACTGATTATTCCACTAACTCAATCACAATTCAAAATCATCAGATACGTTCAAAAAAAAAAAAAAAAAACATGTATTCCTCAAGAGGAAGCGGCGGCGGTTACGGTCAACAACCCTACGGTTCGCAATCCGGTTATCCTCAGAACGTAATAATCCAATTTTCACTCTATGAATTGATGAATTTGATATAATCGATGAATCTATGGCTAATTAGGTCATATTTTGGTTGAATTAGATTTTTGATTGATGGAATTTTAGCTAATTAGGTTTACATTATCATCATGTAGATTGGATCTGGCTATCCGGGAAGTTCAGTCAATAACACAGAAGGTGGAACTTCTCAGATTCCCTTGAGCTCTCGTCTTCCTCCTCCTTCAGGCCTTCCTCCTCAGGAGACTGACGTTGGCGGTTACAGGTCTCAGTTATCCGCAACCAACACTCATTACGGAACAACGCAATACGCGTCGTTATACGGAGGAGCAGCTTCTCTTAACAGCTCTCAGCCTTTAAACACTAAAGGAGTTGGCTCATCGGTGTTGGATGGACGTTCGGGTTATGTTCCCGCTCTGCCGGATTCGCCGAAGTATGGTGGCTCTGGAAGCTATTTGTCTTCCTCTGCTCATGGTTATGGTCAGAAGGAGGATGATTTGTATGCGGATAAGTTGTCTGGTTATGTCCCGAGGCAGTCTAGTGCTTATCTTGGAAGGGAGTTGCAGAGTGATCCGGGTGCTCGGTATGCTGATTCGTCTAGTTTTGGTCGTCAGGTGGGGCTTACTTTTATATCTTTTGAGTTTGGTTTGTTTATGTTACTCATTGTTATGATTTTTGCAGACTGATTTGTATGATCGTATTGATCAAGCGTCACTTCTCCGGGGTGAACAGTTGTTGAAAATGCAGTCGCTTCATACCACTTCTGCTGATGGAGGTGTCAGGTATTTTTTTTTTCTTTTTCTGATGATGTATTCTTCTGTAGTGTAATTTGTTCAGAAATAGTTGTATTTCTGGTATCTCTGTGATTTGTATTATGTTTCTGTGTGGACGGAAACTATGTTTTTTTTTCTCTAGATTTTTGTTTATAAAGCTACTGTAGGTTCCTGTGTAAATTTGCAATGACCTTTGAAGAAGATTTTATCTTATTGCACTGAGTAGCAAACATTTCTGGCAGACAAGCTGATTATCTTACAGAACGAAGTTCTACTGTACGTCATTCCGACCAAGAAGCTTTGCATTACGGAAGAAGGCTGGAGTCTGATCCTCATGGATTATCACTACACAGCACATCTTCTTATGCAAGCCAACATACCCCATCGCTATTAGGAGCTGCTCCTCGGCGGAATTTAGATGACTATATTTATATGGAGAGTTCTTCAAATCCTGGTTATGGTGTTAGTTTACCTCCAGGGAGGGATTATGGTACTGGGAAAGGCATCCTTACTGCAGCTTCTCTGGACTTGGAGTACCCTGGTGGTATGCTGCCTCGTGGTGGTCCTCGTGTTGATGATCTCCGGAAAGATGACCGGGCGAGTTACCTTAGGGAGTTTGAGCTAAGGGAAGAAGAGCGTCGCCGTGAGAACCTGCGTGCCAGAGATAAGGAGCGAGAACGAGAGAGGGATCGGGAACGTGATAGGGAACGAGAACGTGAGCGAGAAAAGCAAAGAGCTAGGGACAGGGAAAGGGATCGCATAGCTGAGCGACGGGAGAAGGAAAGAGAGGATGAAAGAGAACGTGATCGAAAACGCGCTCTCGAAAGAAAACGTGATCGGACTCCAACAGCAAGAGCTTCGTCGAGGGACACAAAGGAGCGGACTCCAGTGCCGAAGTCTGTTTCTAGGGATGCACGTAGTTCCTCTTTGCGGCGGGATGCACAACATCGTGAAGCATCAATTAGGTTTTCTTTTTTATCTATGTCACGCTCTTCATCTGGAAATGCAGAGGATTTTATGTTGCTTCTTCACAAGATCACTAACCTTATTTCTGTTATACCTGAAGGCGTCCTTCACCTGTTAGGCCAATACGGAGAGATTATGTCTGCAAGGTAACAAGTGTTCCAAGAAATTCCTCATTCCGTGATGTTTTTGCATACTCCTCCGGGTTTACCTCATCTTCCTTTCCATTCCTGCCTTCTCCCTGCTTTCTTGTTGATTGACTTCCAATTTCACCTTTCTCATTCCTTTCCTCCTTTACCTGTGGTTATTATACTTCCTCTTTCCTTCTGACATTTTGTCACCTTGGGGTATTATTTTGCCTGCCTTTTGAACTCAGTGACAAATATCTAGTTACACTATCTCGGTGCAAAGTGCTATGTTTTCCTGAAACTCTGTATTTGGGAGGGAAGTTTTGCAATGAAACTTGGTAACAGGGATGAAACAATGGATAGTTATCAAATCAAGGATGTGAATACTATTTTTTCGTTGATGAGACACATTATGGTCACAGGAATGAGAATGGCAGAGTTATCTACCCTCTTGATCCTGAATAATGCAATGATTAAGACCAATGTGCATAATTCTTTATTTTGATGACTGTGTGACCTGTTTGCAGGTTTTATCCTCGCGATTGGTTGACATGGAGAGGGATTACGTGACACTAGATAAACGATATCCAAGGCTTTTTGTGCCTTCTGAGTTTTCCAAGGTATCTGTTTGTCTATCTGCCAATAATTCTAATCGTTAGGGGTGTACTAAGTGATCGCAAACCTCAATATATATATTTCAGGTTGTGGTGAACTGGCCGAAACAAAAGCTTACACTTTCGATGCATACTGCTGTGAGGTGAATTAATCATGCTTTCTTTTTTGCAGTTTGTAGCCTGAGGATTTTAATCCTTTTCAAGCAGTTTAAGTAGATGATATTTTTGTTTCCCTTCCCGAGTCAGTATATCGGAGCCAAATTTGTGGAATCATTTTTGCTTTATTATACATATAGTTAAAATATTTGTAAATTTAACCATCTTTTGTTGAGGCGGCAGTTTTGAGCATGATTACATTGAAGATGGTGGAGCTGATGTGAAACAGACGCCCACAAAGTCTTCAGCTGTGAAAACTGGAGGAAAGACTGTTTGGAATGCCAAGGTGGGCTGTTTTTATTTTTGTCTCAATAAGTCTTGTACCGCTTTGATTGTGTCTTTGCACAGTTTATCATCGCTGGTATTTTTTCCCGATTCTATCAAAAGCATATTGCTTATGTGTAATGTGTTACTCTCTTGTTCAGATGATTTTGATGAGTGGCCTGAGCAGGACTGCTCTGGAAGATCTTTCTTCAGATAAATTATTTGAAGACCGTATACCTCATATTTGCAACATATTAAAGTTTGCCGTTTTTAAAAAAGATCATTCGTTGATGGCCACTGGGGGTCCTTGGGATCCCACAGATGGCATGGACCCATCAGTTGATCAGTCTTCCTTAATCACGACAATGCTGAGGTGTGTTTCTTCTCTTGTGCGTTTTTTTTGGGGAAAATTGTCATTTAAATCACAAACTTTCAAATTTGGTTGAAATAAAGCACCAACTTTCTCATAAGCCAAAAAAATACTCAACTTTTATTAACAAGCCATTTTAATCACAAACTTTCGTCGACCATACCAATTTAGGCATATCGTTAGTCAACAGTTATAGTTGACTAACGGTAGGCCTAAAATGGCTTTCGAAGTTNTTGAAATAAAGCACCAACTTTCTCATAAGCCAAAAAAATACTCAACTTTTATTAACAAGCCATTTTAATCACAAACTTTCGTCGACCATACCAATTTAGGCATATCGTTAGTCAACAGTTATAGTTGACTAACGGTAGGCCTAAAATGGCTTTCGAAGTTGATGTTTTTTTTGGCACAAATATAAATCAATATTTTTTTACAATATTGGATATATTTTTAATATTGAAAATATTTTTATAACAGAAGCACTAACAAATAAAACTATAAATAAAAATTCTAGAAACAAATATAAATAAAACTCAATGTAAAATAATTAGTTAACATACATTAATTAAGTATCTTAGTTATAAAATGATAAGAATATTTTAATTATTTACAATTAATTTTTGTAAATATTTATATAATCCTATTTGAATTATGTTTTATAATTTTTTTTTCAAAAGTTTGTTGATAAAATATTAATTCAACTCGTGTTTCTTAAATGAAAAAATTGTCGATTAACAAATTATTCATGATTCTTTAAGTTTATAATAAAGATCTTCAAACAAATCTATATATTTTCTATAAAAATTTTACAAGAGGTTTTCTGCATCTAAAAAAAAAATAAGTTTCACCAAAATAGATAACTTTTTTTGTTATCCGGTAACTCATTTTATTTAAAAAATCAAGAATTGAAATAATATTTTACTAACAAATTTTTGACAGTAAAATTATAAAACATAATCCATGTAGGATGATACAAATATTTTTTAAAAATTAATCATAAATAATTTAAAAATCATAATCATTTTTTTAACTAAAATACCCAATTAAGGATATGTTAATTAATAATTTTACATTGAGTTATTTTTATATTTTTGAATGGAATTTATTTTTTATTTAAAATTTTATTTATTAGTGTTATAGTTATTAAAAGTTTCTATATTTAAAAGCTAAAATATTGAAAAATTGTTGATTTATATTTGTGCAAAAAAAACACCAACTTTAAAAGCCATTTTAAGCCTACCGTTAGTCAACTATAACTGTTGACTAACGATATGCCTAAATTGGTATGGTCGACGAAAGTTTGTGACTAAAATGGCTTGTCAATAAAAATTGAGTGTTTTTTTGGTTTATGAGAAAGTTGGTGTTTTATTTCAACCAAATTTGAAAGTTGGTGATTTAAATGACAATTTTCCCGTTTTTTTTGTCATTTTTTTCTACCTTTTATTCATTGTCTGAGGTATGAAAGGTCTTTGGCTTTGCAGACACACAAAGGATAAGCTTCATCTTGATCTGAGCAACTGCCGTCACTGGAATCCATTTCTTGAGGTAGATTTGACCTCTCTTTGTTTAAGACTGCTTTGAGATGTTGAACAAGTGGGGACGTCACAGTGGATTATCATTATGTTATATGAAGCTTATTAGTGATTGCTTTATTTATAATGTTTTTTCTGACTGTATTAAATACTGTATAAAATGTTTGGACTCTCAACCATTGGTATTGGCCTATCAGATATCTGCTCTATGAATTGCAGATATGGTAGCTTCAATATAGATACAACATACAAAGCTAACCAAGCGATGCTACTTACTATTTATCTGTAAATCTAAATAGCCTTGTTTTGCCTCTTCTTTTGCCACTTACAGATACATTATGACAGAGTTGGTGCTGATGGAGTTTCTATCTTCAAAGAGATCACTGTACTCTTTGTCCCTGATTTATCAGAATGTCTTCCTTCATTTGACGCTTGGAGAACCCAATGGCTGGCACACAGGAAAGTTCTTACTGAGAGAGATCGACTACTTTCTCAGGAGGCTAAGAAAGATGTCATTGTAGGAAAGGGCAGTGATAATGCCGGTGATGTATCCAAGGATGCGGAGAAAAAAACTCCAGGAACTAAGAAGATGGTTAAAAAGATTGTTAAAAGAGTTGTTAAAAGGCCTGTCAACGATGGAAAGGCAACTGGTAAGAAAGATGAGAAGTCGGATGAGAAGGATGTTCCTGAAAAGGTTAACATTTCAGGTGATACCCCAGGGGAGAGCTCTGATCCTAGTGCTAAGGCTAATGAGCAGACTCCTTCAAAGACGGTTGTAAAGAAAAAAATTATCAAAAGGGTGGCTAAAAAGAAGACTGCTGAAATAGACAATAACATGGACAGTGACTTGAAGAACAATGGAGACAATGATGAGGAAAAGGTAGTGGAAGCAGAGAAGAAAACTCCTGATTCAGGTAGTATGGAGATGAAATCTCCAACAGAGAAGAAAGAAGCGAGTGCCTCCAAAACTGTGGAAACAAAACAGAAAACCGGATCTCCGGATACTGAGAAAAAAGAGGGTGCTTCTAGTTCAACAAAGAAGGACATTAAGTCAGGCGAAGATAAGAAGGTTGAAAAGAAAAACAACCCAGTGACACAATCTGAGGGAAAAAAGGTTGATGAGAAAAAGGCAAAAGAAAAAACTAACGAGAAAGATGTTAAAGAGAAAGGTGGAAAAGATGAGTCCAGTCTACAAGTGAAGGACAAGAAAAAGTCTGACGAACCTCCTCGGCCAGGATTTGTTCTACAAGTGAAACGGAACAAAGACTCTAAAGTAGGTGGACAATAACTCAAAATGTTTCAGGTTACATTTGGTAATAATAGCCATATCATCGTCGCAGCGTTCACTTATTTGGAGTTTTTTCTTTTTAACAGTTGCGTTCACTTTCGGTCTCCCTGGACTCGCTCTTGGATTACACTGACAAGGACGTTGATGAGTCATCATTTGAGGTTAGTTTTTTTCCTATGTGCTTACTGCTTTGCGGAGCATGTTTTAATTCTTTCTAGCTAGCTCAATATATGGTTTTTGTTTTAGCAACGGAACAAATAAGTTCTCATCAAATAACATATGTTTTTGTAGATTTCATTGTTTGCTGAATCGCTGTTCGAGATGCTACAGTATCTAATGGGTACTCGTATCTTAGAATTTCTCAAGGTTAGTTCATAACTGATTTATGATGTCTCTGTTTTTGAGCTACCTGAAATGTTTTCTTACACTTCTTTTTGTTTTTTCTTGGAAGAAATTACGTGTTAAATTTGTGAGAGAGAGAAATCAACGGAAGAGGCGTCAGGAAGAGTTATCTGCCAAGCAAAAGGAAGCGAAAGCACAAAATAAGCGTCAAAAGACTGATAAGGAAACCACGGTTACAACTGAATCTGTTCCTGAGAAGGATGACAAGGAAAATTCAGCCAAGAAAACGGCAGCGGCCGCTGAAGACACTAAAAAAGTTACCAGTGATGAAGCTGCTACAATGGAAGTGGATAACGAGGATGAGGAGGATGACGAGATTGATGAAGACCCAGAGGAAGACCCTGAAGAGGATCCTGAAGAAGACCCTGAGGAATGCGAGGAAATGGATGACGAAAATCCTGAGCAAGAAGAAACTGCTGAAGAGGTATGGTTTACATCGTTTGCCTTGCAGCTGTCAACTTGTTTTTTTTTTCCATCAATCTTATCCATTTGTTCCTTGTCTCTTCTTCAGCCGCAGAAGAACGAAGAAAACAGTGAGAAGACTAGCGGCACTGTTACTGGTCCTAAAACTGAAGTCGCAACTGATAAAAAAGAAGAGAAAGGTTTTGTCGTGGAGAAGACTGATTCCAAATCTGCTGAGATCAAACCCAAGTCAGAGTCAAGCAAGCACGGGAAGCAAGAGGAAGGAACATCTGATGCACCAAAAAGAGAAGAAACAGTTGATAAAGAGTTGTTGCAGGTAGAAAAATCCGCTTTGACTTTATTATGTCTTTTACCTTTTGCCGTCTTTACTGGTGCTAAAGCTTTGTTCATTGCTTCTTTTGACTCAGGCTTTCAGATTCTTTGACCGTAACCAAACTGGCTATGTTAGGGTAAGAAGAAGCTTAACTCGTCTTCCTTAAATTGTCATCTCATTATCTCTTGAATGAGTTTACAATATACCGTTCGCGTTTTCTTTTCTCAGGTTGATGATATGAGAACAACTATGCACAGCTTGGGAAAGTTCCTATCTCACCGAGAAGTCAAGGTAATATAGATTTCGCCATACTTGAGTCTGTCAATCATTTTAACAAAGATATAGAGAGTTGAATGTTTCTGTGTCTTGTTCTTTGGCAGGAACTTGTGCTGAGTGCTTTGTTAGAGAGCAACACTGGAAGAGATGATCGTATCTTATACGAGAAGCTTGTTAGGCTGTCTTTATAGACGATGATCCCTTTTTTAATAATGGCCGTCTTTCCGAGGATAAATGTTTTGTACTTTCAATTCATTTCGACTACTGTGCAATGATATCTGCTTTGGCCAGAATTTTTTTTTTCTCTTTTGATTATTATTCAATCCCGAAGTTTCTTGATTTTTCTGTGAAATAAAATCTCTGGTCTACTTTGATTGACATGCAAATTCAGTCCCACAACATGCATGAAAGTTAACTTAATGCACAACGTATAAATATTTGGGGTAACTCCTTATTTTGTTGACAAAAAAAAACTCCTTATTTTAGTTTTATTTATTTTTAAATTATTAATTTTATAAATTATATTGTATTTTTATTTTTTAATATAAAGTTTACATCAAGTTTCTATAACTTTTTTACCAATCATGTTTTAGTTTTATTTTTAAAATTACGGAAAATAATAAAGTAAATTTTTTTCTTAAATATTTTAAGTAAAAACCTAAAGTTTTCTTTTGTAGGATGTAATCTGTAAAATAAAATAAAAATTATCTATAATATCAAATAAATTACATAATTATAATTAAAAAATCTATAAATATTTAATTTGATTTTGGATGTTTTAAAATTATTGTAGTATGTTAAATAACATAAATGTTAATTATGTATAACATTTTAATTAACATTAAATTTTGATAATTTATAAAAAAAATATTAATATTAACTATTTAATTGATAAAATAGTTATTTTATATGTACGTCAGATAATTCACATATTTTATTTTAAAATATCTATAGTCTATAACTTACATCTACAAAACTACAATAAAAATATATTCTAAAAAAATCTGCAATAACAACTTTTACACCTACAACCAATTTACCTACATCTAAATTTTTAGAACCACATTCGATAATACAGAACGTATCAATATTAACATTAGATTATTTGCAATAAATTCAAACTTCGTGCTTATTCGCTGAACAAGTATTTTTAAAATCTTAATATAATGTAATATTTTTATGTTTTCGCACGTATAGTATATTTTAATATTCTTACAACCATTTTTAAAATCTTAATATAATGTAATATTTTATGTTTTTATGTTTCTTTAAATAAACAGATTTGTTTTTGACCATTTATGAATTTTAAAAGTACAAATGAGATATAGTTTTTTGGAAGATTTTTTACATCTTTAAATTCCAATTATGGGTTTGATTGGTAAAAGTTATGGGTTTCTTCTTTTAAAAAAAAAATATATACGTTGTAGATTTTTGTTGTAGATTATATAAAAAATAATTAAAGGCATTAAATATAATATTTTTTTTCAAAAACTAGGATTTTCAAAGTTAATGTATTTTAATTTTTCAGCTGTATATTTAAACTATTTAAATAAAATATATGACTGGTTAGATTGTATCTTTGGAAATATTACCTAAAATTTAATCTGTAATTTTTTTGATCTAGTTGTACTTGGTGTAAATGTAAAAATTAAATTAAAAAGTAAGGATATTCTTACATCAAATATTCCTTTCTACATCTCAATACATAATAATTTGAAAAAAATTAGAAAATAAGATTCATACAATTCTTAGCTTATAACTAAAAAGACATAAATGATAATATTTATGGCTGTAAATAGAAATATATCAAAACTAAATGAAATTATTACAGCTCAACCAATCACCTTTATAATTTAACTTAATATGGTTTTAGAAAGAAAAATGACTATAGAAAACATCTAGAGCACTTGCCAATCCCCCTATGATCCAGTCTACAACACTAAAAGTAATTATACTGAAGTGAACTGAAAAATATAGAATATTGCAAACAAAAATATATATGATAAGAAGTGATCCAACTAAAAAACAAAGTATGTTATGTCGTTCATATATATATATGTAACTGTGGTTTAATTAAATATGCTAATTGTTTTTTTTTTGTCGTCAAGATAACAGACTCTGCAAACCACCTTAGTAACTCTGCATCTATATAAATAACGATAAACGATTACTTTCTAGCACTACGTGATAGACTGTCCGTCTTAGTATTCCTCGCTCAAGGTATATGAATGATCTGTAAGTAATTGAAACTTTCTCCAAGAATCTTTATGTCTTCCAAATAATTTGTAAATTCTGGTCATTCCTCTAGTATATAAACCATCTTCATTAATCGAACACAATCTGTCGCAAAAGTAACATGATATTGCCGTAAATTCCTCATACTCTCTATCGCTCAGACGAGAGCTTTGATCTCTGAATGTAAGGATGAGATACTCGCTCTCGTATTCTTGCTCTCATTAAACCCTCATAGCCTTGTAATGTGTTGTACCATCTTTGTTCAGAAAAAGTTTTTTTAGCTTTCCATGATCCATCTGTAAAACACAAACGTCCCGGTATCAAAGGTAGACTAATCTCTCCGGACTCACTCCCACTAGATACCGTTTATGCTTAATCTGTCCAAAGCAAACATTCTGTCTCTGATAATTTCAATGTGTTTCCTTAGGATCGACATCAATATTGCTGAAAACTTTATTATTTCTTCTTCCAAATATACCATAAAATTCATGCAAAATGATGATCCTCCATATCATTGGGCACTCGTCAAAATAGATAACTCATACTTGTGAATAGTCTCTGAGCTAGAAATATATCTGGATGAGATTGAATCTTTGAAAGTGCCCACACTTGGAACCCCGAGGGACATTAAAAAAAACAAGTGATTTATGGATTCCTCACTCACATTATACTTGGCACACTGTACATCATCTTGCAAGCCCTTACTTCATAGATTTTTATTTATTGATATACAACCCGAAACTAACTATCAAAGAAAATGTTTAATTTTCGGTGGACAGCGAATTTTCCAACAATGAGTTTTTAAGGGAATCACTATGGGACCATAAAATGGTTCCCCTTTTTATTTATCTGGATAAATCATTTTTATATGGTAACTTGATTTAACGGTATACTAGGTGACCGGTCCGCACCCTGTGCGGGTATATACATATTCAAATTATAGACTTAATAATACAAAGTTTTAGAAGTAATAGATTTTATATCATAGTGAAGTATATCTATCTTGATCAACCAGTGGGATGCTTACTAAAGGTGTACTCTCTATACACTCATTGCTCATAGACTATTGTGTACATTCTGTCTTTACTTACAAGCTGATTTATACAGAAATCTTTTGAACATGTGAATAAGTTAGGCGAAACAAAGCGCATACATAAGAAAGACAGTTCTTTCTCAAAAAAAAAAAAAAAAAAGCATACATAGACAGCATATTACTGTTCGCAAATTAAACGTCACTTCCATGCAGTGGCGGAGCTGGCATATGATCATGTGGGTCAAATGACCTATGTGAATTTGAAAAAAAAAAAAAATTTGCATGTATTTTCTATAGAAACATATGATGAATTTTGCTTACCGACCCTTATAAAATACTTGTATTATCAAATTGACCCCTGTAAAAAAAACATTTCACTCTCCACCACTGCATGTATGGTCATCTTTTCACAGATTGAAGAAAACTAGGATAACAATCCACATAATTTCTTAAGTTATTTTGATATAAAATTAAAAAATAAACTCTGTAAACAATTTAAATTTTTTTTTTATGATCTTAATTTTAGTTAGTATTAGCAAATATATGAATTTTCTAAAATCTAAATTTCTTCTTGTGTATAAATAAAACGATTTATATATTCTCTAAAAAAACTACCAAAAGATTACATCATTAGATTTTTAACAAGATTACATCATTAGTTATTCAGACCAAAATATAATTTTTTTTTGGAACACCCCCAAAATAGAATCATTATATTATTATATATACTAGGAAATAACCCCGGAGAAAGTGTTTAATTTTTATATTTTTATTTTATAATTGTGTAAAGTTTTAAATTGTTCAATCCTTCTAAAAAATAATGCATTAATAAATTTATGTAATTTTTTTGGTTTACATATATAACATACAGTAAAAACTTTATAAATTAATAATATTGGGACTTTTAAATTTTCTTAATTTATAGAGATACTAATTTACAAAATGTATCTTGAGTTTTTTTTTTGAAAAATATATGTATCTTGACTGATCGTATATCACAAAGCTTCTGGAGTCTTCTATGAAATAGAGAATCTCTAGACCGTTATTGATACATTGTTTCCAAATAAATAAAAAAGGATATCTCAGAATTTACATTTATCATATCTGGTAGTTAATTACTCCCGAAAGTTATGGAGAAATTTTTTAAAATTTCATAAATTTTCATAATTTAATTCTCCTTTTTTCATATTGTTTTGGGATAATAGTAGTTTCCATATTCCAACTTCACCGACCCTCTCAACATTATATAAGAGGAGATCCATACCCCCTCACCAAATCATCCGCAAAAACATAACCCTAGCTCAAGAACTCTTCACCGCTTTTAACCTAACTTAATCAAAACAAACCATGTCTGAGTCAGACAAGATTATTACCTTAACAAGCTCCGATGGCGAGAGATTCGAGGTGAGTGAAACTGTGGCGCGTCAGTTCGAGATTGTAGCGCACATGCTCGAAGACGGGTGCACTGGTAGCACTGTCCCGATCACGACCGTCGACAGTACGATCCTAGCCAAAGTGATCGAGTATTGCAAGAAACACGTTGAAGCTGGTGATGTGGAAGGCAACGAGGAGGCTACGAAGACGCTCAAAGATTGGGACGAAGAGTTTGTTAAAGTGGAGATGGATACGCTCTTTTCAATCATCCTCGCAGCTAACTATCTCAACATCAAAGGCCTTCTCGACATTACTTGCCAGAAGGCTGCTGATAACATCAAAGACAAGACACCAGAGGAGGTTCGAAAGATTTTTAACGTAGAGAATGATTTTTCAGTTGATGAAGAAGCAGCTGTTCGCAAGGAGAACGACTGGGCTTTTACTTGATGGTCTTTTGAAACCCTAAATTATTTTCTAGTTTTTCTGAATTTTTGGTGTTCTTTTTTCTTGTTTTTTTTTTTGTTTTGTCTCTTTTCTTTTACATTCGTGAATGATATTTTTATTAGTTTTCTAAAGTATGCGTGATTGAGTTATTCGTTTATTTGATTTTAAGAGTTTTGGTTCAGTCTAGTTTCATAGTTATGTTGATCATCAAGGCCATTGACGTTGAGATAGTTAGGAGCAAGGATGAGTTTTAGTTTCGTCTATAGGTTTATGGTTATGTTGATAACCATTCTTTTATTCGACCGGGAAGATCACGCCTACGAATCTTAGAGCATCTTTAACGCAAAATCAAAAAGAGGGGTGCTTAAATTTTTTTTTTTTTTTTTATATTTCTTATTTTCTGATTAAAAAAAAAAAATCAAAAGTGACCAGTTGCGGGCCGCCACGTGTCAGTGGGGCCCGCGAAACAGAACAAGCACTCTGCAACTCCGACGCTTGTTTTGGACTCTGCAACACCGATGCTTGTTACTTTTGGGGGAAAAAGTTGATAAGCAACCCCCTAAGCACCAGGGTTAAAGGTGCCCTTAGATATTTGGGTGGCCGCCGCTTTTCTGTTGATGCTATTGTGTCGTCTATGTAGGGTTTCTCTACTTCTAAAATAATAGTAGATTGAATATATCGTTAGGAATGTGATCTAATGTGATCTAATAGATCATCGTCAGGAATTTGATCTAATAGAGCGATTCACCAAATCCGCGTAAAACAAATAAAACTATCAGATATAATATCGTTTATATAATTTTTTTTATAGTTTATAATACATAATTAGTTAATGTCAAAAAAAAATGAAAATATATACTATTAGTTATTCCATCATCTCGTCCGACTTAATAGTTAAAAGAAAAGCTCTAAATTAGCCTAAAACGTCCAAGCCAATGAAAAAGTCGACTTGAACCATCACTGAACCACAAGAAGTGAATGTCGGAGGAATCGAGCTTTTTTTTTCTTTTTTGCCAGACGACGTAATACATACGTTTCTTGTTTTGAATTAAAAATAATTTTTCGTTCCCTTCCTTATTTTTGCGTTTCGGTTTAGTTTAAAACATCCACGCCCAACGGGTTGTTTCTGTTGTTGCTGTGGTCACGTGTATACATTATATACTGTCATAACAAAGATACACTCCTTCATAATCGGCAGCCTATTTATATAGGGGAACGTAAGACATGGTTTCACTGAAACAAGTTCCATGTTGCTTTCCTGGGTGGACACACAAGACATGAACTCTTGATCCTTGATTATATCCGTACTAAGACCCATTTGGTTGCACCAAGACACCAAGTCCTATCACAAAACATGAGTTTAAGCTAATTGCAAATTTACAACTTGTAACTTTGTTACGCGTACGTTATTCAAGTACGGTTGCTTAATTGCTAATAGGGATGTCGTTTCAGTGCTAAATGGTCTGAGTCTGATTTTGGAAAAATATTATTTAGTGAAATCACCACTGTTACTATCAAATACTGGTTCCCAACTTAAAAACTAGGCCCAAAAATTATTGGCATAAAGAACAAAATTTGTGGCACGAGCGAGATCAGATCACCACCAGACTACTGCTGGACAACTGCTTGATGTAGGAGCAGCTGAGAAAATTTACTCACCCATTGGCTAACCAACCATCCTTACAATAACATAATTTTGCGTTTATGGAAGATTTAGCCTATGTAGCTTGACACTAATGGGTCCACAAGAATATATATGGAGCTCTAGGGCTCATTGAATCAATTTTATAAATAAGTTTTGACAGGCTTCGAATCAATCAAGATTCAAGAAAAGAGCGACAACATCAGTAGTGGGTCGATTAGGCTATAGTAGTTTATATTAATATGGGTCCTTTAAAGCCAATGTCGTACCACTCATGAGCGCGTACAAGCCAATACACAATACACGTACGATCAGTTATATGGTTTTAAAACATTTTGATCAATCAAATAATCATGGAAGTTGGTTACGGCTTTAATTCTCTCGAGTTGCTTAGATAAAAAAACATTTTGATTATATCTTTACTTCCACGTTTAGTAACTGATATAATCATTATTTACCAATGATAGTCATAGAATCATATATTGTCAATTTCTAAGTTGTTCATGATGGAACTTGATCTTCCAAAACAGATCATCACTCTTTTAATAAAATTGTAATTATACATTGTAAAATAAAATTCTAAAATCTACGGTTAAATGACGATTTAGATCTTCATATGCAAAACAGACCTTTTTGTTACAATAACACTATATCTAGAGATGTTTGCAGATCAATCTGGAAACAAGTATGAAAACAAATAACATTAATTACTCAATTTTACCCTAGGTTTCAAATAGTTATTTACCAATAAGGAAATTAAAATGATTTACAAATATTTCTTCTGTTTTTCATGTTTTCAACTATATGACAAACTTCTTTAATTTTTCTTTGAAACTTGATCTATCTTATTAATTTTCACTTTCTATTTTTCTTGGAGATATCTACTGACGTAACAATATTAAGGCGCTTGACATTATCACAAAGCATAAAAGTTTATTAATAATAATAAAGAAGCAAACAATTAAAAATCTACAACTTTCCACATTCAGTGGGAACAAACGACACCTTATCCTTCTCAAGATCATGAACTACATTAAAATTCTGCTGCTGAAAATTTCCAAAAATAGACATCCCATTAGATTTCCCCATAGCCAAACACAAAACCCCTCCACTCGGATCCTCCACCATGTAATTATCTCCGGGAAGCTCCAAATCCCCACCTTTAAAATGAAAAACAAGCTTAGGAACAGCTACATTCTTAGCCTCACTAGGTAACGTGTAGCACAAGTCAAGTCCTGTGGATCCCGATTCATCAACTGGTAAACTCATCCGAGCACTAAACTCCTTCTTCAAGGTATTAAACACGACCTCCTCTAGATACGTGATGGTAGTGCCAGAGTCTATGATCATACCACCGGTCCCATCTTCAGCAAATTCAAACATAGACTTCTCAACAGAAAGACGTTTTGAGCCAACGGTGATGCCTTGTAGGTCAAGGTAATAGAAAGAAGGTTGTTTAGGGTTTCTTAACAAGGAAATTTTTTTAGTGACTTCACCTTCTAATCTTCCACTGCTTTTGTTGACAATATCTGAGGCAAGAGATCCAATGAACAGCGAGCTAGACGCTTCGGTATCATCAATAGAGGTTAAACAATAAGAGAACTTAGTCTCCTTGAGCTGAGAGATAAGCGAGAGCGGTCCTCGACCTAGCCCTACAAGCCCTGACCCTTGAGAGAATCCGTCTCCTTCGTTCTCATCCCCACACCCAAACCCTATACCCGAAACCGAGTTTTCGCCTCCGAAAGTGAACGTTTCCTTGGCCAAGACCCCTCTTGTGGAGGAGTAATCTCCATAGGTATACAAATACTCACAAGCTTCTTTGTCTTGGTTGCATCTAGACCGAGGCAAGGCTTCACAAAGACCAGAAGAGCACCCTACTTTTGAGTAAGAGGAAGACATTTTCGGGTCGAAAACCGGAGATGGTTGATCGTAACACTCGGTGCAAGGCTTGCATTGCGTCCATATAAGGTCACTTCCGGTATCTAATATAGCAGAGTATTTAACAGGAGGGTTTCCTATAGCTAAATCCATAAGAAACTCGCCGCTTCCTCCATGAGTAGGTGCTTTAATGTTGTTAGTATCATCAGGACCATATGTTACAGATAAAACAGCTGCGGCTCCTAACCTGTTTAGCCTGTGGTAGCCACGGTTGATACCTCTTTGGATCTTTTGGATCTTTGTGAGGTTTTTACCGGAATCAACGTGTTGTAGACTGAATCTAAAACCGGATCTTGAAAGGATTTTTGGAGGAGGATGGTTGGTTAATGATTTTCTTGATGAGGAAAGAGCGATTAAACATGAGAAGATGATAAGAAAGAAAGGGAGAAGCAAAGAAGAAGAAGAAGAAGCCATGGTTTGTGTGGGTAAGAGTGTGAGTGGAATGATGTGAGATTAAAAGAGTGGTGGTTAGTGTTTATATAAAGAGATTTAGAGACACAAGAGAAAGAGTTTGAGAGTAAAGTTAGGCGTGTATGAAGTTAGACATTGTAAGTTGTTTGTTCCCTACTTAAACTGAGGAGATGCTGTTTGAGAGATCCATTCAAACAAGCAAGCCCAATTCTTTCGCCATTAATTGAGAAAACTATGAATCTTTTTTTTTTTTTTCTCTAATCAGTTTACTGATAAAAATAAGCAATTACTATATGGGCACATTGTTAACTAGATGAATGAATTGTAATAACATGAAGGAATTACATGGAAAAGCGGAATAAATTTAGGGCTTATTAGCTCAGTAGCCAAATTTGGGATATATGTTAAGTATATAACATTGATGTTGACGTAATATAGTCTTTGACATTTAGCCTCTTTTTCATCCGGTATTACCCTTTCCTCTAGCAGGTATCCAGTTACATGGTATAAAATTAAATAACGTGTTCGTTAACTGTAGGTGAGTTAAATCACCAAACGTATGAATCGCATAGAGGAACATGTTAACTATTTCTGTTCCATTCTACATAGGTCATCCCTTCCATTCCGTTTTTATATTCATATGTTCCATTCCGTTATCTATTAAATAGGCTTACCACATACAGTATTAGTAGGTGGGTCAAGAGAGGTTAATCTTATGATAATCTTCAAACAGTTTACCTATTTCTGATCCATTATAACTAAATCATCCATTCCATTCCGTTTTTGTATTCATATGTTCCATTCCGTTTTTTTTATTAATTAGAATTACTATATACGGTTAGGAGGTAGGTTAGAAAAGTGACTAATACATTGTCATTTAAAAAGTTATGGACGCTAATCACTAAACAAAAATTAAGAAAATATAAACCCTAATACTTTGGCGATTAAGAAAATATAAACCCTAAACAAAAATAAAGAAAATATTAACCCCAATCCATTGCCGTTTAATCCCTTTCTTATGTTAATCTTTTCTTTTGTTTACCCCACTAAACAAAAGGTAGAGAAATCTAAACCACAATCAATAAACATAAGTTAGAGAAATATAAACCCCATAAATTAGCCTTTAAAATGTTATGGACGCTAATCACTAAACAAAAATTAAGAACATATAAACCCCAATCCATTGGCGATTAACACCTTTCTTTTGTTGACACAACTAAACAATGAACATAAGTTAGGAAAATATAAACCCCATAAATTGTCATTTAAAATGTTATGGACGCTAATCACTAAACAAAAATAAAGAAAATATTAACCCCAATCCATTGTTGTTTAACCCCTTTCTTATGTTAATCTTTTCTTTTGTTTACTCCACTAAACAAAAGGTAGAGAAATCTAAACCACAATCAATAAACATAAGTTAGAGAAATATAAACCCCATAAATTGGCTTTTAAAATGTTATGGACGCTAATCACTAAACAAAAATTAGGAACATATAAACTCCAATCCATTGGCGATTAACACCTTTCTTTTGTTGACACAACTAAAATGGTTTTAAAATTCCGTCTCAAGAATTATAGCGCATACATTACAGATCATTCAATTCCATCTCAAGTAGAATAGTTGGTCAAACTATTCCATCACAAATAGAATAGTTTAAACATATAGTTTTTTCTATTCCATCTCAAATAAAATAGGCATAAGAGATCTTACGCATATATGTTATCTTACATATGCTATTCCATACAACAAACTATATTACTATACTATTTACTATGTATCTCTCCTAAAAGATCACCGTCAAATCACCTCACCGCCTCTCCTATTTTAATGTCTTCTTCCGTGACCGACCACATCTTTAAGAATGGTTTTCTTCTCTGCAAACAATTCTCCATGAATACATCTGGGGCATAGTCTTATACAAATCTGAGAAAAAATCTATTCATATTTTCTAATTATAATAAATAAAATATTATCTCAAGAGTATCTGTGAAAATAATGAAAGACACGTTTTTCTTTTACAGTCATTAATCATTAATTATATTTTTATTCTTTACAAGTTTTACCGGTAGAAAGAAAGGGTAGTATAGGAATATTATAGAAAAGACATGTGGTGTATCTATGTACTAGGGAAATTGGCTACAAAATGAATTATGCTTTTTTGTCTGTCTATACGGTCCAATTCCCCATAAATTTATATCATTCATTCTTTATCAAAACTGCAAAGGAATAATTTCTTTGATTTTTGTTTACTTTTGTTGATTGATTGCTCATTCATTTGACTCAAGGTAAATGATAAAATATTTGCATGAAATTGATAAAAGGAACTACTGCACATAGTTGCTAAAAAAAAAAATTTACTGCACATCACTATATTCCATAAAAAACAATCTAGTTGCAAATATAAATTTGACTAAAAACCATATTGAGATTGAATTTTTTTAATATATTAAGAGATTAAGAGTTAATTGCTGATAACATGAATTTAACTTTTGAATCTGAATTCTAAATATGTTAATAAAAACAAACAATTTACTACATGGACCTATTGTTAACTGGACCCACTAAAACATGCCCACTATATGTCTAAAAAATAAACCTCTCATAAAAGAACATCAACATCTTGACAATCTAGTCCAAACATGAACATCCACTGTCTTAAAAAAAAAAAAAAAAAACTTTACACTGTTTTGTCTTTTTCAAGTTATGAGTTGTCAACAAGCTTAAGTCCCCAGCTTATATCTTCATAGTGTCTCACGTGTGGTACGACATTACCCGTATCAGTACCCGTCTTAGCTTTGCAATCGTACTAAGGATGAGCATGATCTGGTGACATAGATCTACCACAAGGAGGATTTATCATGCTGGTTTGATTCTCTTGCTTATACAGAATCCAAGCTCTTAAACCTCCAAGCCCTTGTGCTACATACCCAAATGTAGACCAAGCACTAATAACCAACTTATCGGTCAAGCTCAGTAAGTACATCTCTGCCCAAGCTTTTCTGTTTGTTGATGTCCTTCATGACTTGGCTGATGTATACCAATCACATCTCTAGTTACCGTTGGATTCTCCCAGTACATTGTTTTCAAGATCTCAAAGTAACCTGTTGTCAAAGAAGTGATCAACACAGCTTTGAGTGTAAACTCTTCATGTACTTCTGATGGCTGACTATGTTGTTCTCCTGGCTTGATCAGTTTTGGTAACACTTCTTGGCTTTGAACACAAGAAATGATTTTCTTTGTGACATGAGGAGATACACCTATTTTCACATTAAACTGATTAGCCAATGTGAAGTCTTTTGGTAACAACCAAGTGGTATCTAGGAACGGTTCACAGAATGGATCCGCAAATTCCTCTCCTTCTTCAACAACCAAGACTCTATCTGTCAGCATTGCATACAGAAACGCCGAGGCAATACTGATGATCCTGTTTCCTAATCCACTAAACTCCATCCAGATAATATACTTGCAACCTTCTGAGTCTAATTCACCGGTTTGTTTCGGTTTAAGTAGTCTTTCTGCTTTGGTAGATGGTTTGGTTCCTGGTCCACATCGTTTGTATAAGCTCTAAAGCTTTGAGATGAGATACAAAGAAGGTTTATAAGGTGAAGCCTTACGGTAGAGGTGAGATTGGTATCTACTCATGCAAGAATCTTTGTTGAAACCAGACACAAGTAGTCCTCCAAGCAGAGACAAATCTACAGAATCTGATGGAAACATTCAAGAAAATATTGTAAAGATATTAACAGTTTTTAAAAAAAAACTTGTGTGGATATAATAGTCATTTATCTTAACTTTTTTTTTTAGTTTAAATATCTGTGGGATTGTGCACTCAGCGCTTAGAACAATTGTTTTGAAACTTGTTTGGATAACTAAAATATTTGGTACTTATGTGAGCTCAGAGACTCTATGATGTAGCCTTACATGATTAAGAGGCTTTTGTTGATGTTGGTTTCTGTGTAAGCACGTTAGCAAGTGAATCTAATCTCTAATTTATCAAACCGCCTCTCTTTTCTGGGAGTCTGTCAACGTTAATCCATCTGAATCTTATCTCTTGTTTCACTAATAATTTGTTTTGTAAGCTAGTGGCCTACTGTGTTCATAAGTATTATTAAGACTACTAGAATAAGACATCCGTTGTGCACATAATCAAATGAATGCTCCATTGTTTCTGTCCGAAAAAAATTATTCTCAGATACTAATGTCCGAAATATGAATTAAATAAAATTTTATTTGAATAGAAAAAATTATTAAAAGACAACAAAACCAATAGAAAGTTGGATAATTACAATCTACATAGGACTATCTAAATTCGAATCGAAGATCGATCCATAAAAATCGGATCCCTAATTTCAGAATAAGTTATAATTCTCGTATACGTTTAATAGTAATAAGGGAAAGGTTTCGAAGGTTTCACTCGATCGATTTCACTGTCTCTCACTCATTCTCACCATTTTCAAAACACTTATATTCATGTCTGCTATAGGATGTGTTTATCCTAGTATTGTATATACTATAGAGTTCCAAACTATAATAGAACAATATAAAATGAAATAGAATAGAATAAATTTTATCTTGAGCACAATCTGATATTTATGCTAATTCATAGTTAACAATTAACATCAAACAAGTTTAACAAAACGACAGAATAACGTCCTCAAATTTTCCTTTAAGAAAAATTGTATAAAAATACTCTAACTAAATTTTATTAAACTTTTTAATATCCAAATTTTTTCATTACTAATTATTTTATTCATTTTAATACACAAACTTTTAAAATTGTGTCTCTTTTAGTACTCAAACATTATTATTTTTTTTTGTAAATTTTATAGATTTAAAAATTTGTTTTAGAACTTATTAATATTTTTTAATTAAAATAAACAAAGTTCGTTTGGATGACCTTCATAATTTAGAGTTTCATGCTCAGGGAAAACAATCTCATTCTCCAGAGTCGTTGCTTAATGACCTAGAATTAAAAACTCAAAAAGAGAAATACAGACTACATTGCTTAATAGCCTAGAATTAGATAGCAACTCCTAGTCCTAAAACTAACCACATCCTTTATAACAACTCTTACAAGCCCTGAGATTAACCATCTCTTTCATGATTTTTTGATGGCCCAGCTTTTATATAGTCCAGTCTTCATCTTACTCTATATGGATTAATATAGTTGAAGAATCTGATTTTTTATACAACTTTAAGACAAAATAGATGAAACAACTAGTTATCTTTGTCATCATCCTCATCATAGTTGAACGGTAATGGAACCGTCTTGAATGCTCTATACTTGCCCACATTGTTCAAATGCTCGTTCTCTAGCCTGAAGAAATTCCATATCCCACGTCGGATAATCTCTAGACTGGCTACAAGAGCAACCATTGTCTGTTTATGCATAAAAGAGAAGTTGAAATCCAGCACTGTCTGCACCCACGCGAATCTAAGCAACACGTTCAAGATCTGCAAAGTAAAATCAATTTAGCTATATGATTGAGAATGATGAAGGCTTATTAGTTTGCTCACCATGGCGATGAAGTATACTTTCTTCTGTGGGATAAGGAGTTTATCCCTGAGCCAACGGTTCTTAGAAGTCCTGTTTAGAAGACCCCAGTCCAAGACTAAGTCCCAGTAAGTACAGAAAATGGCAGCAATAGCTGAGAAGATCCCAGCCAACAATCTCCATAGGAACTGATTATCTTTGTCTATACTGTAAGCTGTCCTCAAGCAGACAGCCACTATAGTCAAGAAGTACTTGATCCCATTGTATCCTTGTTCTGCGTTTTTCTCTTCAAACAGCCTCCTCAAGCACTGCACAAGTGTTGTATTTAGCAAATATTATAATATGAATGAAAAAAGACAGCTAGATTTGGTCTGAAGGTAACCTGAAGGAGACGACAGACATATGGAACAACAGCAACAATGAATAAGAAAGCATTGTAGGTGTCTGATTCTGTGCAAGTGTTTTTTCTGAGTTTATAATCTCCCCAACCGTAGTGACATATGTAAAATTGGACGCTTCTAAGAGCTTGCACCTGACTTGTTAACTGATCTCCCAATAAAAAATCAGGTAAAGTTACCTGCAAGAAGAGAAAAAATCAAGATTTAAGACAAATTTAAAAATAGAATTATCAAATATTGTGTATCATCAATCAATAGTTTATGTTATACCTTGTAAAGAGGAGCAGCAAGGCAGTGAAAGAGGCACGTGAGGAAGAATAAGCGACTTGAGCGGTAGAAGATGTTGAATGGTAAGACTAAGACTATAAACATAACCTAGACCACAAAAGTAAACCCTGTTTATAATAAATGCCATATATAATAATGCTGAGTTTTGTTAGTTTTTGGATGACTTACAATGAGCAAGAAAAGAGGAAGAAGTTCGGTTAATGCTTTGTAATCATTAGTTTCAGGGTCAACCTCCATGTCAAGATTAGCAATAACACAAAGAAGTGCTAAAACACCAATGCTGAAGCCCACAAGTAGGACTCGTCTATAGGAAAGCTCTGTTGCTTGTTTGAACCCAAATATGAATGAGTAGTTCACTCGATACCGCCTCCAGTAGTAAATATTCGCAGCATACATAAGTATGTGCAGCACGATGAACCCAAACAAGCTGCAAGAAATAACAGATTCCAGCTCAAAATGTTGGTTACAAATAAGTAGGAATAGGGCCAAAGTATGTCTACCTGTAGAGAGGGAACATGGTGTTCATGTACTTTTTGTGACCATTTTCCTGCAATATGTTACGGGTGCGTATGATGGCGAATAAAGCCACTACTAGAGAGAACATACATCCACCCAAGAAACCTGAAAATTTTAAAAATCTAAAATTATAAACTGACAAGAATATAGTCTGAAGGAGACAACATAATTTTATTTTATTTTATTTTGGAGGTGTTTTTTTTTTTGACATCGACAAAAACAGACTCATATGGAGCCTGCGAATTTTGGAGGTGTTTTAAATCTCATTATATAAAATAAAAACATAAAAACATGTTTTGAGGTAGTATAAAATATGAGTATATATACCTGTGGAGAATGTAATACGATGTTTCTCTCTTTTAGCTTGAGGTCTCAAGATATTCATTCCTTTTGTTCTGTTAGCATTAGTGAAATGCTTTATGAACGTAGCTTCAACACGTTCCATGAGTCTAGTAACCTAAGAAGGAGCAAGAAAAGATCATTTCGTTAGTAGAAACATAATACGAATTAAAAAAGAAGACATGTTTTTTTACCTCATCAGAGCCGCCAAGGTAAGAGTTATCAACCATTTTCATGTAAGGCTTCGCAGCGTTCCTCGTAGTTACTTTATCATACTTCTTTAATATCTTCGAAAACGCCAACACATTCAAGAAGCTGTAGCTTTTGAGTAGGCGAAGCTTCTGGTAGAACTCGACGAAGGCGCGTCTTAGCTTCTCCTCGACTTTTCTCAGGTTATCTCTGCTGAACTTGAGCTCCGGGTTCAAGGACTTTAAAACGTGTTTAATTGTGGAACGAGGGGATTCTTTTGTATTGTTGATTCTGACACGGTCCAGAACTTCGATGGAAGATGGTCTTGCAGCGTTTAATCTACTTGTGTCGTCGGAAATTACTTTATCTTCTTGCTTCTCCTTATCTTCGTCATCGTCGTCGTCATCTTCGTCGGATTTACCAGCTTTGCTTGATCCTCCTTCCTGTATTGCTTCCAGAGTTTGAGCGCTAACTTTCACTGCAACCAAACCGGAATTTGAAATTAAATCAAATTTCAATTAAGTGCTATAGTGGTTCGATAAACCGGAATCAACCATTAATGAAACAGAAGAATATATATAAACAGAAAGAAAAAAAACAATTTTAATTTGGCCATTGTGTTACGGTTCTATAAAACCGGAATCAATCATCTATTTAACAAAAAAAAAAGATGTTAATTTCAGTTAAGCGATTAGTCACGGTACTGATCCGACAAAATTTGAAATAATCAAATTTCAGTTATATGATTCAGGTAGACATAACTGAAATTATTAATCATTAATCTAACCGAAGTAACCAAATGTATTCCAATTTTACTTTCATATACCAAACCGATTTACCTAAACTATTAAAGTAAAATACCTATTAAAATTTTACCATTATTTTTCTTTATAATTACAATGTTATGCCACTACATAAGTTTTTAATATAATCCCTAAAGAAAGAATATTCTCAAATAATAAGTTATCAAATTATTCAGTTCAAATTCTCAACAGATTTAAAACAAATTCAATGAAAAAAAAAATAACTAAATAAATTATAATACGGGTCTGAATAATTCAAAATTTTCCAATTTATTACTTCCCCTAAAACCATAATAAATTTTGCACATAATTTTTTATAATTATATATAAATTTATAAATAAATTATAATTTTTCTTAATTAAAAATATTTAACTTATCCGTGCTTTAAAAACGCGGATAAAATTTAGTGATACTAGTTTAAACCAATTTAAATCCTATAAATTAGACTTGAATAAAATGGTTTCCGCTATGACTCAGTTACCATCTAAGCCCAAATTTTCAATACAAATATAACCAGAAGAAGAAAAAAATCAATTTCAATCAAATTCGATATTACGGTCCGCAAAAACCGGAATCAATCATCAAATCTAACAGCTGTCACTTTCTATTTAACGATTCGGTACAGTAACGGTTCAATAAAACCGGGAATTAAAACCAAACCACATCACCATCTCACTAAGTTAGGTTTCACTTACTGGATCTAGCACCGGCGGGAGTAGAAGCTGCAACAGCCGCGGCGGAGATATCAACATCAGAAGCTAAACGAGTCATCTCCACCGTCCGTTCCTCCCAAAGCCACCCATCAGGATGCTCAACTTTAACTCTAAACGCGATCAACGCGTCCATCTGTTTATTAAGCATCACAGCTTCTTTCATCACTTCATCAACTTTCTCCTTATAAAACTTCTCCACTTTGTTGAACTCATCGTCTAACCTCCGGAAAAACACTGTCTCGTACTCTCCTCCTTCCTCAGCCGCCATCAGAAACGTCGTCTCGTAACCGTGACTAGCCGAGTGGACTAGAATCGGCGCTGAGTTTAGTCCTTCCTCGATGTCGTCGTCTGAATCTGAGAAAGGACCGATCTGTGAAGCACCGTGGGGATGTCTTTTTCTTCCCGAGTTTGAGATTAAACCGCTGAATGTTCGGTAGATTGTTAACTTCCGGTGGAGATTTTGCGCGTGGGCGTGTGGAGGAGTGTGTTCACGTTTGAATTTGACGATGTCTTTGAGAAGTGATTTGAGATGGTTATAGTCCATGTAAGCTTCGTGCCACTCAGGCACCATCTGGGACGAGAATTCTTTGCCGAACTTCATTAGTTCTTGTCTGAAATCTTTAAGTTTTTGGTTTGTTTGTTTTGTTTCTGTGTCTGAAGAAAGAGTGGTTGAGAAGACAGGATTACTTATAGGGATGGTATTAATCACTGACAGGTCACAGTATCTCTGGTGATTTATGTGTTGATTTAAATGAAAATGGCAATGTGTATCAATTTTTGAGTGATCTTGTGGGGTTGAAAGTTGTTGAAAGTGGAAACCCTTTTACCGATGTGTTCAGAAAGGGTTAACCAAACCGCGTGGGGACTGGGGACAGCCCTCGGACATCAAACATATAACTATTTGAGTTATTTTTTGACTTATTCTTGGGTTCACCCCCTAGGGTGAACCTCTAGGTTCACCATCCAATAAAATTACATCATTTTCTATTTGATATCTTTTAAAAAAAGAAACAAAATCTTATTAAGTTATATTGTGTGTTTTAAATATAAAAATACAAAAAAGAATAAAAAAAATAATTAAGAAAAACGAAAATAATTATTTTAAAAAAAATTTAACATTAAACTCTAAAGTCTAATCTTAGGTAAATCACAAACCTTTGGATAAATCTATAAAAATTTTGTGTTTATGATTTACCCAAGGGTTTAGGGTTTAGGATTAGAGTTTAGGGTTTAGTGTTTATGATTTACCTAAGGGTTTAGGGTTTAGGATTAGAGTTTAGGGTTTAGTGTTTATGATTTACCCAAGGGTTTAGGGTTTAGCATTAGAGTTTAGGGTTTAGTGTTTTAGTGAAGAGAATTTTTTTTATAAAATTTACCAAAAATTTATGATTTACCAAGGGGTTTAGGGTTTAGGCTTAGAGTTTAGGGTTTAGTGTTAAAATATATTTTTTAAAGAATTATTTTCGTTTTTATTAATTTTATTATTATTTATTTATTTTTCTATTTTTATTTTTAAAAACATAATATAACTTAACAAGATTTTGTTTCCTTTTTTAAAAGATATCAAATATGAAATGATGCAATCCTATTGGATGGTGAATTTAGAGGTTCACCTAGGGGGTGAACCCAAGAATAACTCTTATTTTTTTAGGTTCACCGACCAATAAAATGATGTTATTTCATATTTGATATCTTTTGAAAAAAGAAATAAAATCTTATTAAAATGATATTATGTTTTTAAAATAAAAAGAAAATCAATAAATAAAAGTTTAATACTAATATTTATAAAAAACAAAAAAAAATAAAAAAATATTTTAACACTAAAAATAAACACCTACTTCCACTAAAAAAAACTTGCACAAATCAGTCTATTTAAAAAAAAGTTATCTACAAAGTTTATAAAAATGACCAATTTTTAAAAATTTGCTTGTGGTCTTTTTTATGTCAGGACTTGTAATGTATAATTTAACAAGATTTTGTTTCTTTTTTTAAAAGATGTCAAATATGAAATAACACAATCCTATTGGTTGGTGAATCTAAGATTCATCTTAGGAGGGAAACCAAAAATAAGTCTTGTTATTTTCATTCTAATTCTATTAATTTAAGAGTGGAAGATATAATAAATCAATGTATTATTCTATTTTGAAATAATATATTAAAGATCTAAAAATAAAGTTAAGCTACAATCCAATTTACAATTAAAAAATGGGATAGCAATCCAAATTATTCTAGTGATATTGGGAGACTGGAGTTGGTAATATTTTTATACCCACCTTTTTATTATAATTCTTTTAAAAAGTGCACAATAAGATTTGTGGTTTCTATGAAAAAATATTTTCTTATACAAATCTAACTACTAAATTAAAACTACCAGAGATTAAAAAAAAAAAACAAATTGGTGCTGGTGCATTAAATTCGTCAGAGGGCACCATATTAAATCATGCGGCGGCCAATAAAAAGGCAGTATAGATTAACGAGTTCTTAATAGAAGAAAAGAACGTAGCAGATATGTGATTATGATTAGGAAAGTTAGGCCAAGTATACACAAAAAATCTATAATTTACTAACTAACTAAAATTTTCATTCTTTCCTACTTTCCCTTCTTATCTCTCTTTATTTTCTCTTCACAAAATTTATTTATTTATAAGTTATTTGCAAATAAACCTTATAAATAAATCTTACAAATTTAGGAGTGGGTATTTCGGTTAAATTTAATTTGTTTGATTTAGAGAAAATTCAATCAAAACCAACCGAAATTAGCTGGTTTGATTTGTATTTGGTTCAATTTAGCGTAAATTTGGTTTAATTTGTTACTGAATTGGTTTATTTGTTTTATTTTGTTTGAAAATGTTATTCATAAAACCTAAAATGAAACATTATTTAATTACCAAATTATTAATTTCTTAATATTTAATGTAAAAAGTACCACAATAAAAATGTATAAGACATAGTTCAATTCATTATCTCCATAGTATAAATTATGGCTAGTCTTCAATTTCTATTTAAGACATTCTAATTTTCAGCATTTAGAACTATTCATTTTAAACTTAACTTTTATTGATCAAATCATTTCAGAAACACAAAAAATAAATTGTTAAATTGATTTAGTATTAATATTTTGAGTATCTAAAACGGATTAGTCAACAAAATAATGTTTTAAATTGACAATTTTAAAAATTTGAGGCTAAAATAGCCTAAATGTAAGTTCGAAAACTATATAGTTTTTTTTTAATATAAGTTAAGGGTCTTATGACCTATTCTCAAACATTATGCCTAAAAAGTGTTGGATTAATATTGGCTACTTTTATCATTTTATATTAGTCCATTGCTAAAATCAATCCACTAGTTTTATCATATCATATTGTTTATTCAGCCTACCTTACACCGATTTCTTGGGTTATTTTATCGTGTACCTATACCATCTAATTAATTGTATATCATTAGTTTGATAAATTACATAAAAAGCGTGTACAGTCGTCCAAACTTAGCTTTTATCATTTTACTAAACTAGCTACTTGTATAATTTCTACAATTATCATTTCTTGAATATCATAACGGTAAATTATTCTAATTTCATAAAATGTAAAGTACTGCTAGTTGATCTTAACGGTAAATTATTCTAATTTCATAAAATGTAAAATACTGCTAGTTATCTCAAACTTTTAAGTAGTCACAAATTCCAATATAGAAAGTACAAGGCCAATGAATATAATGTCTTTCGAAAGTACAAGGCAAATGATGTCTTGTATTATCTGACAAGAACGATCCACTTCGTTGAATTCAAAACATCTTTGTTTGTAGAAAGTACAAGGCGAATCAATATAATTTTTGTATGTAAGTTTAAGCTTCAGAGTTTAAACTCCCTAACATATATCAAATTCTTGATACCTGGCCATGAATGTTTCTTTCAATTAAACTTTTCTGTTCTCAGATTTTTTGATGCAATAATATTTAGAGAGTAGTCACCTTTTAGTTCTTCTAGATGTCAGTCCTCTCTAGTCTCTATATACATGAGAGATGATATTAAAAACTCCGAAATATAAATAAGAGTACATTGCTTAATGGCCTTGAATCAGACAGTAAGTCCTAGTCCTAGCAACTAACCACAAGAATTTAAAAAACTCTTATAAGCCCTGAGATTAACACCTCCTCCTTGATCTTGGTGGGTCAGTATTGTATAATCAAGTCTTCTTCTTACTCTATGTGGATGAAATACATAATTTTAAGACGAGATCAAACAACTAGTTGTCTTTGTCATCATCCTCATCGTAGTTGAACGGTAATGGAACCGTCTTGAATGCTCTATACTTCCCCACATTGTTCAAATGCTCATTCTCTAACCTGAAGAAATTCCATATCCCACGTCGGATAATCTCAAGACTAGCTACAACAGCAACCATCGTTTGTCTATGCATGAAGGAGAAGTTGAAATCCAAAACAGTCTGCACCCACGCGAACCTTAGCAAGACGTTCAAGATCTGCACATTTTTTTTTGGAGTTAAGAATCAGCTTTTGATCTATGATTCAAGATGAAGAGGCTTATTTAGTTTTTGCTCACCATAGCGATGAAGTATACTTTCTTTTGTGGGATAAGGAGTTTATCCCTGAGCCAACGGTTCTTAGAAGTCCTGTTTAGAAGACCCCAGTCCAAGACTAAGTCCCAATAAGTACAGAAAATGGCAGCAATAGCTGAGAAGATCCCAGCTAACAATCTCCACAGGAATTGATTATCCTTGTCTACACTGTAAGCTGTCCTCAAACAGACAGCCACTATAGTCAAGAAGTACTTAATCCCATTGTATCCTTGTTCTGCGTTTTTCTCTTCAAATAGCCGTCTCAAGCACTGCACAAATATTTAGCAAATGTTATAATATTTAATGAGAAAAGAAGGCTAGAGACCTTCTAAAGAGAGAGTTTGTACCTGAAGGAGACGACAAACATATGGGACCACAGCAACAATGAACAAGAAAGCATTGTAAGTATCTGACTTTGTGCAAGTGTTTTGTCTTAGTTTGTAATCTCCCCAACCGTAGTGACATATGTAAAACTGGACGCTTCTTAGAGCTTGAACCTGACTTGTTAACTGATCTCCCAATAAAAAATCAGGTAAAGTTACCTGCAAGAATAGAAAGGCAAAAAATCAAGATTTAAGACAAAGTTAAAAATATTTTGTATCATCAATCAATAGTTTATGTTATACCTTGTAAAGAGGAGCAGCAAGGCAGTGAAAGAGGCATGTAAGGAAGAATAAGCGACTTGAGCGGTAGAAGATGTTGAATGGTAGGACAAGAACTATAAATAGACACTAGATAACAAAGTAAAAACATGTTAATAATAGTGTCATATTAGCTGAGTTTTCACATTCAAAAGCTGGATTTATGGACTTACAATGAGGAGGATGAGAGGAAGAAGTTCGGTTAATGCTTTGTAATCATTAGTTTCAGGGTCAACCTCCATGTCAAGATTAGCAATAACACAAAGAAGAGCTAAAACTCCAATGCTGAAGCCCACAAGTAGGACTTGTCTATAGCGAAGTTCTGTTCCTTGCTTGAACCCGAATATGAAAGAATAATTCACTCGGTACCGCGTCCAATAGTAAATGTTGGCAGCATACATAAGTATGTGTAGCACAATGAAGCCAAACAAGCTGCAAGAACAAACAACAAAAGGCAGAATGCATTAGAACAACCAGTTTTCACCTTAAAATTGTCAGTACATATTCGTAATAACCAGGACCGGCCCTGGGCTATGCTAAGTAAAACATTCGCCACATACCCTTAAATTTTTTTTAAAAAAAAAACTATATGGACATAGGTCCCAAAAAGATTTTTTGGAAGAAATATTTTTTAGGCTTCCAAAAAATCTTTTTACATAGATATAGCCAAATGTCCCCATAATCTCAGGACTGACACTGATAATAACGGAACCAATTTAGGTTTACCTGTAAAGAGGGAACATGGTGTTCATGTACTGTTTTTGGCCATCCTCCTGCAATATGTTACGGGTGCGTATGATGGCGAATAGAGCCACTACTAGAGAAAACATACATCCACCCAAGAAACCTGAAAACCAAAATCTAAAATTAGAAACTGACATAAAAAGTATTGATTCTGGAAGTGACTTAAAACCCAGTTTTATAGATAAAGTAGTTTTCCAAAACAAAAAAAAGAAAAGAAAATTACGGTGTTTGTAGTAGTATAAATACGGATTTGTAGTAGTATAAATACGGATTTAAGGGGTTGTAACTTTATTTACAAAATCATTATATAAACCATAAAAAACTGGTATTTGCTGGATCAAGTTTAGTTTTCTTTCTCTCTTCAATATTGATTCGTAGATTTTCACAACAAAAGTATAATGAAAACTCTTAGCCTTAGAGACTAACATGTGTCATGACAGTACCTGTGGAGAATGTAATTCGATGTCTCTCTCTTTTAGCTTTGGGTCTCAAGATGTTCATCCCTTTTGTTCTGTTAGCATTGGTGAAATGCTTTATAAACGTATCTTCAACACGCTCCATGAGTCTAATAACCTGTGACAATGGAGAAGAATCAAGAAAAGATCAGTTTTAAGAAGAGACGTAAAAAAAATGATCAATCAACTGAATCTAAAAGAAGACATTATTTTTTTACCTCATCAGAGCCGCCAAGGTAAGAGTTATCAACCATTTTCATGTAAGACTTCGTAGCATTCCTCGAACTAACCTTATCATACTTCTTCATTATCTTCGAAAACGCCAACACATTCAAGAAGCTGTAGCTTTTGAGTAGGCGAAGCTTTTGGTAGAACTCAACAAAAGCGCGTCTGAGCTTCTCCTCGACTTTTCTCAAGTTATCTCTACTAAACTTGAGCTCCGGGTTCGAGGGCTTTAGAACGTGTTTGATTGTGGACCGAGGAGTTTCTTTCGTATTGTTGAACTTGACACGGTCCAAAACCTGGATGGGAGATGGCCTTGCAGCACTTAATCTACTTATGTCACCGTCTGCTGGCTTGTAAATGACTTTCTCTTCATCTTTCTCCTTATCTTCATCATCATCATCTTCGTCTTCGTCGGATTTACCAGTGCTGCTTGATCCTCCTTCATGTATTGCTTCCAGAGCTTGAGCGCCAAGTTTCACTACAACCAAACCAAAATTTGAAATAATCAGATTTCAGTTATGTGAGGTACATAGTGGTGCTACATAAACGTAATTAATCTTTAATCAAACCAAAGAAACCTAATGTATACCAATTTTGCCCTCTAAGTTCAGTAGAATAAGAAATAGTCATAATAATCAGAACCGGACTTGAGCACATGAATTTGAAACAATTGTATGGAACCCCAACTTTATAGGATCCCCATTTTTTAAATTTTTTGTAGTCATAAACACATATATTAACATAATTATATAAAACTTAATGCAACATAAAAAATTAATAGAACATAGTTTAGTTTTATTAACTTTTTAGGATGAATAAAAAATAAAAATAAAACTAGAATAAGTAAAATACTACTGAATCTAATTACTTTTATTTCTCTTATAAATAACAAATAATTCAAATTAGATTTTTGTTAATAAAATCAGTTAAAATATTATTAATTTATAAAAAAGGGTTTAGGGCCCCATTTATTCTGGACCGGCTCTAATAATACTCACTACAATAAAACCAGAAAAAGTTCAATTCAAATCTGGCGATTGAGTGTTACTGTCCGATGAAACCCGGAATTAACCATTAATGTAACAGCTGAACTGCCACTAGTCGTTGCAACAAATTTGGTTAAGCGATTTGGTACGATTACAAACCGGTGAGAAACATACCCACTACAATATAACCATTAAAAAAAACCAATTTCAATCTCTCCATTCGATGTTACGGTCCGATAAAACCGGAATCAATTATCAACCTAATGTCACTAGTCGTTGCAACAAACGCGGGAAAGAAAACAAAAAAAAAAGGAGCAATTCCGGTTTAGAAAATTCGGTACGGTTACGTTCGATAAAACAGAGAAATAAACCGGTTAATACACATTGAGTTAATAGGTTTACTTACTGGATCTAGCACCGGCGGGAGTAGAAGCTGCAACAGCCGCGGCGGAGATAGCCACATCCGAAGCTAAACGAGTCATCTCCACCGTACGTTCTTTCCATTGCCACCCATCAGGATGCTCAACTTTAACCCTAAACGCGATCAACGCATCCATCTGTTTATTAAGCATCACAGCTTCTTTCATCACTTCATCAACTTTCTCCTTATAAAACTTCTCCACTTTATTGAACTCATCGTCTAACCTCCGGAAAAACACCGTCTCGTACTCTCCTCCTGCCTCCGCCGCCATCAGAAACGTCGTCTCGTAACCGTGACTCGCCGAATGGACTAGAATCGGTGCTGATTTTAGTCCTTCCTCGATGTCGTCTTCTGAATCTGAAAAGGGACTGATCGGTGCATTACCGTGGGGATGTCTTTTTCTTCCTGATTTTGCGAGTAAACCGCTGAATGTTCGGTAAACGGTTAGCTTCCGGCGGAGAGTTTGGCTGTGGTGAGGATTGTTTTTGCGTTTGAATTTGGTTATGTCTTTTAAAAGAGATTTGAGATATTCATAGTCCATGTAAGCTTCGTGCCACTCTGGCACCATCTGTGACGAGAACTCTTTCCCGAACTTCATGCCTTGTCTGAAAATCTAATCTCTTTGGTGGTGTTAGTTTAGTGTCTGAAGAGTAGTGTGAGGAAGACAAGGGATCAGTGGATGTATTAAATAGTGACAGGTCGCAGAAAGTTACCAGAAGCAAAGTGTCTGTCTGTGATATCTTTTGATATTAAATTGAAATGGCAATGTGTATCAATTTTGAATAAATTAGTATTGTTTGTCTCAATCTTGTTGAAAAGTTGAAACCCATTTACCGATGTGTTCTGAAAAGGTAACCAAAGCGCGTGTTGACTGCCTCACGGTCACGGACATCGAATATACTGTAGTTAACTAGGGAGTTAGAGCAAATGCATTAAGAGTTTATAGCACAAGTTCACAGGATTCCCCTTAAAAAAATATTATAATATTCACTTTATGAGTTTTTTCGGGTCTTACATCACGCCGTTTTTATCAGTTTTTCTTTTTTTTTAAATCAAACGAAAAAATAATAATAAAATATTAAAATCGATGAATCCTAAAGTGGGTCATGCACCATATATATGTTTATGAGGTTCAAAAAAGCTGTATGTCAATGACAATTTGTTGCAAGATGCTTTTTAAGAAAAACGTTACAATATATATATGTGTTATACTCTGTCTGTTTCAAATTGTTACGTAAAGTGAAAAAAATTGGTTTTAAAATACATTTTTCTACAATTTGAAAGCAAATTTTATGACATGATAATAGTCTATACTATTATTTGCGAAGTGATTTTTCGCGACGGAGCTCTCACGTTAAAAGTTAGAGCGGTTAATATCTATTTTACCCTTAATGAAATTTTTATATATAACTAATTTTATAATTAAAAACGAAATCTATACTATTATTTGCGAAGTGATTTTTCGCGACGGAGCTCTCACGTTAAAAGTTAGAGCGGTTAATATCTATTTTACCCTTGATGAAATTTTTATATATAACTAATTTTATAATTAAAAACGAAATTTAAAAAATAAAATTAGATAAATATGTTATTATCTTAGATAATAAAGAATAATTAATATAATAAGTTTATAAGAAAATCAAAAATAAGATAATTCTTATATATGTTATTATTATTTGAATAAAATATTGTAACAACATGATAATGCTTATATATCTTAATTTTATATATAATTGATTTTGGCTTTTGAAAGCAATATCATTTTATTATAAAATTTAAAATTAAAATATAAAAATCGAATTTAATTAAATATTAATCAAATATCTTATAGAATATTATAGAGTTATCTGGAAATAATTGTTTTATTATGAAAAATAAAAATGTATGTTATAAAACAATTTAAAATTAAATATTAGAAAATATATATATATTTTCACATATATTTTGTTATGTGGATGTTTCTCAACAATATAATAAGCATATATATTTTGATTAAAATTCATATAAAAGTATTTTAATGTTTGATTTAGGTTTTTTAAAATTATAAAAAATAACTTATAATATTATTTTAGAATTAATAAAAAAATAATAAATATTCGTAAAAAAGTTATGTCCGCATATGCGGGCACAACACCTAGTAAATTGTAAACGTCAAAATTAATTAGTGTTTATTAAATTTTGATGGAAAATATATAGTGATGAATAATATTATTCCAATATAGACTAATAACTGATCGTTTACTCTATTTAAGTATTTTAGATTTATTTATTTTTACAAAATAGTCTTTCATTGTTAATATGCTCTCATTTTATGCCAATATGAAATTAAATGGCATGAATTTTCACCTTTAAATATTATGTTTAGTATATCAGTTGTTTTTAATTATGTGTTGTAATAAATTTTTAATTTTAAACTAATCATTTGGTTGTGTAAATAATGTAGGTTGTTAATTTTTTTAAAAAAATAAAAATATATGGATTACATAATACATTAATAACTAAATAAAAATAATATAGTTTGAATATTTATTTTTATAGTAAAAATAGAGGTGACTTTTAGAGCAAAATGTTCCTCTATTTTTTTAGAGTGATTTAGTGAACTACCCATATTTGAAGCTCAAATTAGCAAAATACCATTGATTGGACATGAAGGACACTGACACAACCATTTGGTAAGGAAATGTCGAGAATGCCTTTCTCTTTCCTCTCATTAACACGAAGCGTAAAAACATTTGTTAACATATAACACTTCTGTTAACGTCTACAATATTTGTTAACAGCCAACACATTTATCACCGCGAAGCGTAAAAATAATTGTTAACAGTTAACACTTCTGTTAACGTCTACAATATTTGTTAACAGCGAACACATTTATTAACGTGAAGCGTAAAAATAATTGTTAACAACTAACACTTCTGTTAACGTCTACAATATTTGTTAACCTCTAACACGACGTCGAATCTAAAACCCAGAAAATTGATATCATCAAAAAGTTGAGGATTCAAAGCCATTTATGAAAAAAATAATGAAATTTCAAATTTAATTGTATATAAAATGATAGAGATTTGTAAAATAATTAGGGATTGGAGAGAAAAAAAATGTCAAAATTAAGGATTCAAAGCCACTTATGAAAAAATAATGAAATTTAAAATTTAATTGTATATAAAATAATAGAGATTTGTAAAATAATTAGGGATTAAAGAGAAAAAAAAGAGGGGAGATGTCAAAGAGATGAAAGAGAGTGTAGAGAAGAGCAAAATGGTCCAAAAGAAAGTGATTGTCACATCATGGGCAATTCTCTAATTATAGGTGTCAAATAGGGCACTTTAGCCAATTATTTTTTTTTTTTACCATTGAAGATGGTCCTCGAGTCTTATATTTGCACAAACTCTAAATATTTAATAAATGTTTAATTTTCAAAGTAACTAATCATGTGATGTAAATTCCACTCTACTTAACGTATGATTACAACAATTTAAAATCACTGAGATGTTTTGTCCAAAAAAACAAAAAAAAAAAAAAAAAAAATCACTGAGATGTTATCTAGCAGCCACAAAAGTATTAAATTAGTACTGGCTAGCTCTATCATAGTATATTAGTCCACTAATTTATCATATCTTATAATATTATTCGTCTGCTTGCTTTCTTCTCGTGTTAAGAAACTAGCTACTTGTATAGTTTTTACAAGGGAAATCCTTTCTTGAGATCTCAAACTTCGATCTTAACGGTAAATTATTTTAATTTCATAAAATCTAAAATCCTACTCTGTTATCGAAGTTGCCTACGTGAACCCCTATCTGTCTATTGTTGACAAAAAAAAAGACCTATCTATTACTCTACTAGGATTTAAAAAGTCATTGTCAATATAACACGTTTTTACCTCTACCAAACAACCAAAAGGGCACATGCATTTTACCATAGATAAAAATAAAATATGGTTTTAGCTTTTAGATTCACAGATTACTATGTAATTTCCGACAAGAACGATCCACTTTCGTTGAATTCCAAATATCTTTGTTTGTAGAAAGTACAAGGCTAATGAATATGCATGAACGTGAAAATTAAGAAGATAACATAATGTAACTTATTTTTGGTTATTTAATAATACAGTGTAAAAATTATCAAAAAAAATACTGAAAAAGAAATCTAATTATTATTTGACATCGTGTACAGCTATGCATAATAATGAAATCTACAAAATCATGATACTAAAACACAATTTTTGAAGTATTAACTCAACTACATTGTTTACTTTAAGTTAAGAAGACGAAAGTATTATCAGCGAAACATAAAAACATTTTATTCAAGTTTGCTAGTAATAATTTATTTCTTCTTAAAGCCTATAAGTGTTTTGTTATTAACTTCACTTACATTTTATCTTTGTCAATCTCATATCTAATTTTTTTAATATAGTTTTCTTATCTAGGAGTTAGTATATTATGGGAAAGCTAATATTTTATAAATGAATATGTATATAAACATTTTTTTTTGGATTTGCATGGTTGGTGACTTTAAGTGGCAACTCTTTGTTTAAAGTAAACTAGATTCTGATTTGTGCTTTGAATATTGTTTAACAGAATTTAATTTATGAAAACAAAAATTTTAACTTTTTTTATTTTATTTTAGTGTATTTGAATATAAATAATTATATCAGTTTATATTAATTATGAAACTTATATAAGATATTGCTTAATTATATTTTTTTAACTGTTTCAACCATTTTCGTTATGTATATTTAATAACATTTCTAAAATTTATTTGCCTAATTGTGTGATATATATATTTTGATAAGTTTTTCAATATAAAACCTATTTGGTGTCAATTTATTGTCTGTAATAGTTGATTTTACACAGTATTTAATTTTAAAGCAATGTAGTACTCAACTTATATGAAAATATAAAACAATTCATTAATTTGTGATTTTTATTTTTTGTAGTATCTAAATTTGCAAAACATAGTTGTACTTATTTGAGATGCGTAAAGATGGATGTGAAGTCAAGTGAAGAAAATCTACCTTGGTCACTAAAAACTAAAACGTATTGTATTGTTTTAAAGAATTTGTAGGAATTTGAATCGAATATGTATATTCCATCTTTCAAAAATAAAAGTATATTCCGATATTCGTACATTGTATTTTGTTTCTAGAGATTTAATAAAAACTATTTTTTTTTGAACACTATAAAAGCTATTTAGAAACTATTTCAATAACATGTTTTTCATGCACCCTATATTTTATTACAATATTCTTTTTTTCCAGCATCGAAAAGATACTTTTATCATCTTAAAGTTATTCCAGTACGTGCTGAAAAGATAAAAGTTATTCCAGTACGTCATTAATTATTAGTTTGGCAGACTTTCGTGTGAGAATCTCACTTTACACGTCTATTTTTTTTGTATTATTATGTTCTTTTGAAATTAACTTTTCTGAATTATAAATGCTATCCCACTTTTGTTTTTGTTTTTTTTTTTTTGTTCAAATCCCACTTTTGTTTTTATATAAGGTTTCTCATGTCTAATGGTGTTAGTCATTGTCATCCTTCACTATAGGAATTATCTGGCTCACTTTTAAAGAGTGCCACCGAAAACCCTTAAAAATGTCATGCCCATCTCGTGTTAGGTTTCTAACGATTGTTAACAAAATTAATCATATTACTAGATTTCGATCCACACGGTTGTGCGGGTATATATTTTTATGTTTATCTATAAATATTTGTTTTACAGATCAAAATATACATTTTTAATGTTACTTACATATTAAAATATTTGTATAATTATTTCAAATGCAATCATTTTACAGTTTTTAGTGCTATAAATTCAAATCATCACATATATATGTTTCTTCTTATTATATATTTTTCTTATTGAATTTGCGTTTTATTATTAAACAAATTTCTTATATATAAAACAACGTATTTGAAAGTTGTTTTGTTTATATTTATTATGATCGTAACCCATAATTCAAAACGTTAGATAGCAATTTTTTATATTTATTTATTTTATATAATAAATTACTGTATATAAATTTTTTTAGATAAATTAACTTTTATACATGAATTATATAGTTTACGAATGTTAATACGTTCTACCGACATATTATATTTTTAGAATAAATATTTTATATTTATTAACATAAATGTATTAACTTGTCAATTTCAAAAATCATTATCATATTTTGTTCGATATAATGGTTTTCTTGTAAAATGATAGATATTATTAGAAAATAGTTAAAATAGGACATAATTTAATTATTTTCATTTTATAAAATATAGCTGAATATATATATATATATATATATATTTTAATGTATAATAACATTTCATGACTAATTATGAAATTGGTGAAAATATGTATGTTTAATTTTTGACAACTAAGATCTCTTGTTATAATATTTTTCAACAGATTTGCTAGAATTTATGAATATAGTAAAAGTTTCAAGATCTAGAAATAGTCCATTTTTAAAAAAAATCACACATGCATTAAAGTTGTGACTTCTGTTTTAATATATACAGATTAGTTATTTCTAATATTCTGACATTGTACTAAACATTAGTGTTATCGAGTTGATGATTTTTATAAAAAAAAATGAATATATATTTATGGTTAATCAAAAAATTAGTTAATAATTATATAATTATTCTAAAATATTATGTTATCAAAACTTGAATCTTATACAATTAAGTTTATAAAACATAAGTTTTAAATATTATATGTTTTCTTTAGATTCTCAAAGTTACTATAGTAATATTCCAAAAGGTTTTCTAAATATACAAAACCTTTACAAATATAACAAAATTGTTTATCAATTTAATAAATTTCACAACTACTCTTAAAATCAACTAACTCTATATAAATTCAATTTCCCAATAACCTCTTTCCCTCTTTATCAAGAAAAAACAAAACAACCCCCTTCTCCTAAAGTTAAGAGAATAAGAAATTAAGTTTGCCAACAATTAAAAGAGATGTAACTGGTACCAAGTCCGTCTCTAGGAGTGTACTCCAGGTGCATTTGTACTGGGCCTAAAACTTTTTTGACATTTTTAGATATAATTTATGTATAAGAAAACATCTAGCAATCATCAGTCCTCTCTATACAGTTGATACTGTACTAACAAAATAAAAATATATAATCAGGGCCAATAACAAACCTTAAAGCCCAATATAACATTAAATCCAGGCCCATCAAAAACGTAACGCTTGAGAGTTTGAGATTTTCACCACTACCATAGTCAGATCATCGTCTCCTTCCTTCTTCTTTCTAGGGTTTCTTCCTCCTCCGCCAATACGTGATCGAAGGCCAAATCCTCCGGTAGGTAAGACCATTTCCACCTCAATCTTCGTTCCTACTATCTGTAATTTTGCGTCGTAGATAGAAGAATCATTCATTTGGATTTCATCTGATTTTATCTCAATTTGTTCATCCGTTTTGTAATGTTAATTTGAACTATGAATCTTCATTTCAGAGAATCAACAACCGTTTAAAAATGGCGAAGAATCGAGTAACCGCGATGTCACTCGAATCCTTCGTCTCAACAATGGCGCCACTCATAGACATGGAGAAAGAAGCGGAGATATCAACGTCCCTAACCACAGGCGCCTCCCGAAACATCGAAACCGCTCAGAAGAAAGGCACAACGATCCTAAACCTAAAATGCGTTGATGTAACAACCGGTCTAATGGGGAAATCTCTCCTGGAGTTCCAATCCACCAAAGGAGACGTCCTTCCCCCTCACAAATTCGGTAACCACGACGTCGTCGTTTTGAAGCTCAACAAATCGGATATCTCCTCGTCTCCTTTAGCTCAAGGAGTGGTGTATAGACTCAGAGATGCTTCTATAACGGTTGTGTTCGAGGAAGTTCCTGAGGAAGGTTTGAATATGTCTCTGAGATTGGAGAAGCTTGCTAACGAGGTGACGTATAGGAGAATGAAAGATACGTTGGTGATGTTGAGTAAAGGTGTGTTGAGAGGACCTGCTTCTGATTTGGTTCCTGTTTTGTTCGGCGAGAGAAGTCCATCGCTTGCTAAGAAAGAAGTTGAGTTTAGTGCGTTTAACAAGAATCTAGATCAGTCTCAGAGAGACGCGATTTCGAAGGCGTTGTCTTCGAAGGATGTGTTTTTGCTGCACGGTCCTCCGGGGACTGGGAAGACGACGACTGTTGTGGAGATTATCTTACAGGAAGTGAAACGCGGGTCGAAGATTCTGGCGTGTGCGGCTTCGAATATCGCTGTTGATAACATTGTTGAGAGGCTTGTTCCTCATAAGGTGAAGCTGGTGAGGGTTGGACATCCTGCTAGGTTGTTGCCTCAAGTGTTGGATAGTGCTTTGGATGCTCAGGTTCTTAAGGGGGATAACAGCGCGTTGGCGAATGATATTAGGAAGGAGATGAAGGCGTTGAATGGGAAGCTGCTGAAAGCGAAGGATAGGAACACGAGGAGAGGGATACAGAAGGATCTTCGAGCTTTGGGGAAAGAAGAGCGTAAGAGACAGCAGTTAGCTGTTTCGGATGTGATTAAGAACGCTGATGTGATTCTCACGACTTTGACTGGTGCATTGACACGGAAGCTTGATAATATAAGTTTTGATTTGGTGATTATTGATGAAGGAGCACAGGCTCTTGAGGTTGCTTGTTGGATCGCTTTGCTTAAGGGTTCGAGGTGTATACTTGCGGGAGATCATCTCCAGCTCCCACCGACGATTCAAAGCGCTGAAGCTGAGAGGAAAGGGTTGGGCATAACATTGTTTGAGCGGTTAGCCGATCTATATGGAGATGAGATTAAGTCTATGCTTACTGTTCAGTATCGTATGCATGAGCTTATTATGAACTGGTCTTCTGAAGAGCTTTATGATGGGAAGATAACAGCGCATTCAAGTGTTGCTTCTCATATGCTTTTTGATTTGGAGAATGTAGAGAAATCTTCAGCAACAGAGGCGACTTTGCTGTTGGTAGATTCAGCTGGGTGTGACATGGAAGAGAAGAAAGATGAGGAAGAGAGTACTTACAATGAAGGTGAAGCAGAGGTTGCGATGGCACATGCCAAGAGACTAATCAAGAGTGGAGTTCATCCTTGTGACATTGGAATCATTACACCTTACGCTGCTCAGGTTATGGTGCTTAGGATTCTTAGGGGTAAAGAGGAGAAGCTAAAGGAGATGGAGATCTCCACGGTGGATGGGTTCCAAGGTCGAGAGAAAGAAGCTATCATCATCTCCATGGTTAGATCAAACTCAAAGAAGGAAGTTGGGTTTTTAAAAGACCAAAGGAGAATGAACGTGGCTGTTACTCGCGCTAGAAGACAGTGTTGCGTCGTCTGTGATACAGAGACAGTGAGCAGTGATGCGTTTCTGAAACGTATGATTGAATACTTTGAGGAACATGGGGAGTATCTAAGTGCCTCAGACTACACCAATTGGTAAGGCGCAGTTCATAGGTTTGTGAAGAGCGAAGTCTTCTTGGTTAGCATAGTTTCAGACCTTGTGGCATTACTTGTCTGCATACCATGAACATGTTTTTACCTTCTTCGCATAGCTTTGATGAAAGTCTTTGGGCCCTCGGGCATTAATATGGTTTTATGGCTTTGTTGTGTGCTTGCTTGTGTTACCATATGATTACTTAATTTAACCCTGAAGTTAAAACACTCTAAAAGTTTAGGTTGGTATAATTAGATGGTCCATACCAAGCCCCATATAAATAAAAAGTTTAGGTTGGTATAATTAAATGGTCCATACCCGAAGTAAAATAAACAAAAAATAAATTTCCGCTGCCGGGAATCGAACCCGGATTTCAAGAAATTAATCCTAAGATCTTAGTGATTTTTTGAAATAGACCGGTGTGCTACAGCGGATCTCTGTTTAATCAATTAGTATAAACATATTTATTTACTAAAGACATGAATGGGCCTTTAGGCTTATTCCACTCAACCTATCTTAGAAAAACGTTGGGCCGAAAGTCGTAAAGCCCAATATTGCTACTATAAAGCTCAAAAAATGGGAGACTATTATTGCTACTATTGCATCTTTGACGTTTGTATAAGAGAATCGTTCCTGTTTTCGGGGAGGAGATTAAGTTCAGTTTGATGCTTACAGTTTGCATGAACTGGTCATCCCAAGAACTTGGAGAACGTAACCAAATCTTCTGTTCTGTATCAGAGGTGCCTTTGTTGTTAGTAGATACCATTTGTTGTGACATGTGGGGCTTATTGAACTAATGATTTGAGAGGATTTCGTTATAAAGAAAGCTCGGGATTCAAACAAGAGCTTGAGTGGTGATTAGAAAGGATTCTTGTTTGAGAAGTGATTAGAAGGATTTCATTTTAGGATTCTGAGATATAATTTTTTTTTTTAATTTTATCTTTTGAGTCAAGCACATAGGGCGATCCAGTTACAACCACATGAGAAAAGAACGTTGAATGACAGTTTTGTATATTTTTTGAGCATCTTGAAGTACTAAAAAGCATCGGCATTGTCTTCAAAAAAGAACCACAGGAAGAGACGCTGAATCACTCATTCGTGTCATCATCATATTTTACATATCCATAACTCCAGATTCTACAACATAGGCATGTAAACTAGTTCTCACACTAGAATGCATCATCTGGCATTGCTTCAACAGCTCATTGTATCGTTTTATGCATGGGCTGTAAACAGAACACTAAACTGGACAGTTAGCAACGTCGAAGCAAACAAACTGTCCAAACTGTTAGAAACGGAAGCGGATACGTGGAAACGGAATCGTATGGAAGTGTAGAAGCGAGATGTTTTAAAAAATTAGAAAGCAGAAACGTGTTGGAAGTGTATATTTATATATGTGTATATACACACATATTAAAATATAAAAAATTACAAATATGACTAGAAATTATTTGAGTCAAATTTAAAATAAAACATTTATTCATTTATAATAATTTTAAATGATTTTATGTTAAAACCGTGAAAATATACATAAATCAAGTTTATAAGATATTATTATACTAATTACTTTTTAATATTTCGTAAATAATTAACACAATCTATTTGAATATATACGATATATCTTTAATAAATCCTCAATGCATAAACATAATTTTTCTAGTATTAGTTTTAATATTTGTATATTATTATTCTCTATTTCACTATTATATAAAAACAAAAATAATGTTTCTTATATTTTTATTTACTTATGACCTTGAATCTTTTAAAATGGAAGTGTGATTCCAAAACGGAATCGTAAGCTTCCAATGTGTTTTTAAAAATGTTTTTTCGGAAGCGCAATGGAATCGAGATTCCGAGAGATTCCACAAGCTTCCGTTTCCGAAGCGGGAAGCGGACGTATGACGAAGCTTCCATGCAACCTAGGTTATTGGTTGGTATAGTTTGTTGATAACAAGCTCCAGTAAAATAAACAAAAAATAAGCTTCCATGCAACCTAGGTTATTGGTTGGAGTCAAACCCGGATGATCATATGATCTTAGTGAATTTGTTGAAATAGACCAGTGTGCTACAGCGGATCTGACTGCCTCTGTAATGTATGTAAAGTTAATTATACAATAAACTCATGAATGGGCCTTCAGACTTAATTAAGCCCATACTATCCTCGCTGTAAATAATGGGAGACTACTATTGTGTCTTTGACGTTTGTATAAGAGCATCGTACCTGTTTTGGGAAGGAGATTAAGTTCAGTTTGATGCTTACGGTATGCATGAACTGGTCATTCCAAGAACTTGGAGAATGTAACCAGATTTTCTAACGTGCACTTTTTGAATGTCTAATTTTATTAAGTCAACATATATATACTTGAGGAATTATGTTGCGTACACTACAAGAAATATTATTAATAGCCACAATATTTTTTTAGCTAATATCAAATTTTCGTAGCTATTTGATCAATAACTACAATTAGCTGCACAAATAATTTGTAGCGTCGGGCTCGTGGCTATTGCCCATTTGTTACTATCCGTGGGTGTCTTTCTACAACATAGCCACAACAGTAATTTTGTGGCCATAGCAACAAATAGAGATAAATGTATTTGTGACTATTTCTTCCACAAATGATCTTTTAACGGCCACAACTTACCTTTTAGACACAATCTTTTAGGTAGCAATTAGTGGCTATTCAATAATCATTTTAAAGAAAAAAGAAAACCAAAAAATTATTTATTTTGTAATACAGTATAATTAAATAATTAAATAAAAAATTTTAAACATAAACAAATAATCAAACAAATAATTTATTTGAATTAATACTTTGTTATACAATAAAATTAAAATAAAAGAACCAAACTTAAAACGTAGATAATATTAGGTGTTATGCCTTGGCAGTATCAACAACCACCACCGCCGTTGGCACCATCGATGCTGCTCCCCACACTCGTTGCTTCATAGGTGTACGATTTTCTTTAGAGATCTCTTATCTATAGATATTGCATTCACATGAAAGAGTGTTACCAACTAGTTTCTCTGACCAACGAACCATGGAACCTCAACAAGAACAAATTTGAAGCTTCCGAATGAAAAATGATTTAAGCAGATATCTAAACACTTTACCTGATCTGTCATGACTCCTGAGTCGTAGTGAGCACATGAATTCCTCGCTACAACCAGTCGTAGTAACAGCTTGCAATATCAGAATCAGCCAACTCTCCCTCTTCTTTCATAAGTTCACTCCATCTTGATAAGTTGATTCCCCTAGAAAATGATGATTGTGGAAGGAAAAAGCAGTGAAGTACTTTACCTCAAAGAACTCTTAACAAGTTCATTGACTTACAATTTACTCAAACATTCTACATTAGCCAGTGATACTTGTAACGCATATGTCAAACTTACACTTTTCTTTTAGCATTGCAGCCTGTGACAAAACTTAGCACAATTGTTAAAAGAAGAGCCTGAAAATCATGAGATTTCTTAGAGAAGCATAAATCTCAGAATAACAATTCACATATGAATAGGTAAAACAATAAGACAAAACTCCTAAAATTGACAGATTTATAAGTGTTATAAAAAATTGTTATAAGTGTTTGCCTTTTTGTTTTAACATATTATATTTAAGAATTATGATTTCAAACAATGAGTATTATTATACATTATAGTTTTAGGGGGTTTATGGTATGTTTAGGGGTCTAGAGTTTGAAATTTGAAAAGAGTTCTGTTTTATGTTTTTAAAATATATTGGAAATATTGGATTTTGTTTTGAAATATTATGGTATGTTTACTTTAAACAAATGTAAAGTTAAAATTTTAATTTTATTATTCTTAATATATACTAGAGATTTAGGGTATGTTTAAGGTTTGACTCTAAGAATAGTCACAAATTACGTTGTGGCTATATATTTCCACAATTGTTTTGAAGCTAATAGTAGATTTTGATTTTCACAAGTTGTTTTGTGGCTAATTGTGTCTTATTTTCTTCAAATATCTACATAATATAAATTGTAGCTATGTAGCTATTTTTGTAGCTGTTGGTGGTTACAAAACTACTCCCACAATTTGTTTGTAGCTGAGTTGTAGCTTTTTTTTTTTTGGGTCAAAATAGCAGCTATTTTTAGTTTTTCTTGTAGCCGGTAGTCAATAGTTGGGGCATAATGTGTCGGGAGGAATTCAATGATCACTTTTTTATTGTGCCAACTACATTCTACATGTAACTCGGCGGCCAAGTTACAACTTCATTGAACACCAATCATACAAAGCAACGTATGATAAAATCATATTTAGGAGTTAAAAGGAAAGACTTTATAATATTTTATCTTTATCAAAAAAGCCTTTATAATAAATTTTCCGATACAGCAATTACACTTTCCATCATATATAATCCTCTTTTATCGATGCAAATAATATGCAGTATGAGCATATAAGCCTTTTTCAAAAAAAAAAATAAAAAAAATATGTATGAGCAAATTCATGATCCGAAAATGACCCGATGACCGTCGAAAAAGAAAAACGAGGACCACACTCGACAAAGAGATATACAGTCACCAATGCAACAAATATAAAATTAGGAAAATAATACCAAACAGAATCTCGGAAACCTTGTCATTTTATTCATCACAGTTGGAACTGATTTCTTAAAAAGAAAAATAAGAGCACCATTAATCCTTAGATTTTTACCAAAAACTTTTAGGTGTTTTATTGATTTTTGTTTTTTGTTTTTTTTTGTCTGATAAAAAAACAGAAAACTAATTGACCACCACGTGTCGATGAGACCTGTGAACAGTGGAAAAACTAAGTTCTTGCAGAATACATAAGATTCAACTCTTAAAAAAATTATGGGGCTCACCTCTTAAAAACTCTCTTAAAAGACTGGGTTAAAATGCTCTAAATTTTTTTGTTACAAACCAGTTCTTAATAAAATTCCAGAGTAAATTTCACAATAAAGATTTGTATTCGTTGAGAACTAATGAGAAACATATAGAAGTAGCTTTGATATAAATAAAACAAACACAACTAGAAAGAGGAAAACAAAAACTAGAAAGAACAAAAAAAATAATTTAGGGAAACAATACCTTGAATATATACTAAAGAAAGAAAAGACTTAAAAAAGAGAAGAATATACCATGACAAACTACAGAATTTAGTTATATCAAAACTTATAGAGTTAAAAAGAAAAAGAAAAAGATAAAGAAAAGAAAGAAAAAAAAACGTTTAGGGTTTTGCTCCTCTTGACATCGGGAAGCTCACATGGGCAACTGCAAGCCTTTCTCTTTCTCCCCTGACTCTTTTTCTTCTCAACATGATTATCTTCTTCCTCGGGTTCAGGTGCTTCTATAACTCTCACAACCTCCTTCACAATTTCCTTGATGAAATCAGCTTCAGAGCTGCCATACATAAAGTATATGCTTCAGATTTTGGAGGAAAAGGACTATAGAGCAAGAATGTGACTGGAAAGCATACCTCTTGTTTTTCAACGACAAACCCATCTTGCCGGAGATACATTCCAACGCTTCCTTCCATTTCTTGATCTGATCTCCACTAGAAGCTTTAGCAAGGTTCCAGAAGTTATCACCAAACTTACCTGTCTGGCTACTCACGTCTCGTGCTCTCACCTTGTAAAATATTGGAATGACTTGGATCTTATTTTTATCGGCTAGTTCCTTCAACTTCACTAACTCATCCATACACCAGCTCGACTCAGGATACCTATATAATTAAGTCGATTATGATTAATTAGGTGATTACAGGTTAGACCAAAAAAAAAATAATATAGGTGATTACGCTTCTTGAATCTAAGTATGGTTCACTAATGTAGACACATGATAATCAAAGAGCGTGATAAAAGAATACTATAAGAACCTGGAAGAGAAAATGGCAAGCGCGATGCTGGAATCTTCGAGCCTAACAAAGAGATTTTTGAGATCTTTGCCTCTCTGCTCGTATTTGTCTACGATGAAGTTGATCCCATGCCGTTCAAAAGCATCAATGAGATGACTCACGAAGCTGTGGCGCAATTGCTCTCCTCGGTAGTTGAAGAACACTCGATGGGCCTTAGTAGGAGAGATGATCGTCATCGTGTTGTATATCAAGTAACTTAACGTTGCTGAAACCATTCGATTTATACAATTTTGTCTTCCTCACAACGACGACGTTTTTATTTATCTTATATCTGACGTCATATCGACCATTTTCTTTTTTACACTGAATTTTCATGACCATGACGTGGTTGTCCCACTACCTCTATGCGACCATGCACATATCCTTACATAACATACATACAGGTGCACATAACTTACATAACATACATACATGTGAGTATTGATGTTCGTTTAGTGTAATTAATCGGTACATTTATATGGATCAGTTGGGTGAGTTTCTAAAACTCAGCTGATTTTTTTTTTTAAAGAGCTAGCTGAGTCTTCACCATGCATCTAGCTGCACCTAATTCAGTCAAAAAAGGTTAATGACGAAAATGACCCTGCTACACACAAAACTAAGACCAAGTGCATTAGTGAATCTCAAGAGAGGTTCACACATTCTTCCAAAAAAAATATTAAAAAAATCATGGGACCCGTTTTTTAGTGAACCTAAGCTCTCTCCAGCTCTCTCATGTGAACCTCTGAGGGGTGGAGTTCATCAATGTTTTGCGGGCCCCACGCCACGTGGCGGCCCACTATTGGTTGCCCACTATAAAATAAAATAAAATAAAATAAAATGAAACGAAAAAAATAATAATAAAAAACTAAATTGTGAACCCCAAGAGGGGGTTCATCAATGTACATGCTCTAAAGCCAAGAGTTTGATTCTCATCTCTCACGCTTCTCTCTCTCCTGGTGGTCGATCTCTCTCTCGCCCCCTTTCTCTCTCTCCGGCGATCTCTCCCTCCGGCTCCCTCCGGCGACCTCTCCCTCTCACTCCGGCAACCTCTCTCTCTCAGGTTCTCCCTCTCACTCCGGCGACCTCAGATCCGGAGACCTCTCTCTCTCTAGCTCAAGTAAGAGTCTATGAGATCTAAATGTCGTTTTGTTTGGAATCGTTTACGTTATCACCTCACCACATATGAAATGCAATCTCTCTCTCAGGTTCTCTCTCTCAGCTCCAGCGACCTCTCTCTCTAGCTCAAGTAAGAGTCTCTAAATGTTGTGGGTTTTGTAGTTTATATCCTATAAGTTATGTTCGGGGTTTTGTTTGCATCCGTAGATTGTTCTTCTTCAAGTCTGTAGTTTATAAGTCTGTACTTTGGATACAAAGCTCTTGTCATGTATCATTGTTTATAAGCTTTAATGGTGTCATGTGTCCCATCTTTCTTTTGGTGTCTAGCAGGTGCAAGAAGAAGCTTTCTCATTCTATTAAACAATGACATCCATCCCTGGTTCTGATGTGAGTATCTTACTCTCTTAGTTGATCTCGATTTTTTGTCAAATTCTTTTCTTATTGTCTTTAATTTTCAAATAAGAATCTAATATGAAGTGACGAGCAAACACGGTTCTTTCTTCAACTAAGACTTGATGAGAGTCTGAAAGGAAACATAAGAAAGAAGATGGTTAATGAGGCTGGGAGACATGTGATCATGGATAAGTTCTATGAGGCATTTGGTATTAAAATTCCATGGAGAAAATTTTGGATAAAGTATAATACTTGCAAGAAGCAATATGACTCTTTTAAGAAGTCGACTCGGAACAGAATGGGGCTTGGTTTTACTTCAACTGGATCTATCAACATGAGTGAGGATTGGTGGAATGAGCGATGCAAGGTACAAGTTCTATGATCCTTTTAACTTTACTGGTTCAGTGTTGATTGTGTTGTTGGAAAATAATGATTTGATGTAGTCATTTTTGAACACAATCTATGAACACAAATATTCAAGTTGTACAATCTATTTAGAGAGAACTTGTACAATCTATGATTCTGTGTTATGTTCAAGCAAAGACTGATAATAATGTAGTCATTTTTCTATGTATTCAAAGTAGAAATACAGTGTTCTCACTTTGAATTTTCTTGTTTCAGGAATGGCCTGGTGCTAGAAAATTTAAAGACAAGCCGATAGCAAACATGGATTCGATGGAGAAAATATTTGGGACAGTTTATATTAGTGGAAGTGAAGGTTGGTCTGCTCAGCAAGGTGAAGAGGTTTTAGACACAAAGCACACAGATCATGATGATGAAGATGATGCTGAATCAAGGCGTGATGTCCCTACTCAAGAAGCTGTTAGAGATGAATCAAGGCGTGGTGTCCCTACTCAAGAAACTGATGTCGCATCTGAAGCAGGGAATGTTGGATCAAAGAATGCTTTGTGTTGAAAACCCTCCTTAAGCCAATGGTTTTGTGGTCGTGTAATTAGTATATGAAGCCAATGTTGTTTTCTTTAAGATTATGTTACTTAGTTTGTGATTGTTCAAAAAAAAAATGTTACTTAGTTTGTGTTGATTAAGCCAATGATATGAGTGCTTTGTGTTAATGGTTGAGTCCAAAAGTGTCAAAATATGCATAGTTAGCATCATTGATACACATGTGATCACTTGTGGCACATGTAAATAAGTTATCGTGGGTAGGAGGAGTAATGGTTTTGTGGTCGTTTAATACTTTGTGTAGATTTTGCTTATGATAATGAGTCATGGCTGATGTTGATGATTGATGAATACTCTGGGATGTTTCAGGGCTATGGGATGATTGTGGTCGTTCAATGGTCTCTCCCAAGTCCTAAGTAACTTATGTATCCATGTTGTTCATCTTTATTGTTTCTAAGCCATTCTAGCCTCTTTGAAAGCTGAACTTAAGGCTCATCTATACTATTATTTGAGAAGTAAATTTGCTTAATTGTCAATTTCTCCATGATTTTAGGTAAATTTGTTTATTTGTAAATTTTTATAATTTTATAAATAACTTATTATAAAATTAAAACAAATTTATATTAACATTATTATATATTTTAGCCAAATAAGATAATTATTACATATTTGTAATTATCTTGAAAATATAATTTAAGTAATTTTTTTTATTTTTCATGTTATAATAATTCTATAAAAATTTATTATATAATTGAAATGAATTTATACTACAATATATATTTTTAAGATAACAACATAAATATAAGAAGTAAATTTGCTTAGTTGTCAACTTCTACATGATTTTAGGTTTTTGTTTATTTGTAAGTTTTAATATTTTATAAATAATTTATATACAATTAAAACAAATTTATATTAACATTATTATATATTTTAGCCAAATAAGATATTACATATTTTTAATTATCTTGAAAATATAATTTAAGTAATTATTTTATTTGTCATGTTATAATAATTCTATAAATATTTATTATATAATTAAAACGAATTTATATTAATAATATTATATTTTTAGAAAATTAGATAATTCTTATTATTTCTGTTGTTATCTTAAAAATATATATTATAATATAAATTATAAAATTAAGATATAATAAGTTATAATTAGATATAAATCAAGCAAACATATTTGTATAAAAATGTTTTTGATATGTGAGTGTAATAAAAAAATTTATTTGTCAACTTCTCCATGGTTTTAGATAATTTTACTTATTTTCATGTTTTTAATAATTTTATATACCATTTATTATACAATTACAATGATATTATACTTATAATATTATATTTTAGAAAATAAGATAGTTCTTATGTATTATGTTGTTACTTTTCAAATACATTTTCTATTATAAAATTGAAGTATACTATTATTTGAAAAATAATGCTTATTTATCATTTTCTCCATAATTTTAGATAATTTTTCTTATTTATCATATTTTAATATTTAATATATATAATTTATTATATAATTACAATGAATTTATATTAATAATATTATAAATTTAGTAAATAAGATAATAATAAAAACGAATTTATAACAATAATATTATATTTTTACAAAATAAGTTAATTCTATGTATTAGATTGTTATCTTAAAATAATTTTTTTCTATCATAACATTTAAATAAATTTTCTGATTGGTTTGTAACTTCTCAGAATAAATTTTTTTGGTTGTACATTTCTCCATAATTTTAAATAATTTTGTTTATTTATCATGTTTTAATAATTTTATATACAATTTATTATGCAACAAAAAATTAACTTATATTAATGATATTATGATTTTAGAAAATAAGTTAGTGCTTATGTATTAGATTGTTATCTTAAAAATATATTTTTCTGTTCTAAAATTTAAGTGAATTTGCTGATTGATTTGTATCTTCTCAATGATTTAGATAGTTTTGTTTATTTGCCATGTTTTAAATAAATTCATATATATTTATTATATAATAAAACAAATTTCTATTAATAATATTATATTTTTAAGAAAATAAGATAATTTTACATATTATATTATTATCTTGAAAATATAGTTTTCTATTATAGAAATTAAAAATTAATATACAAAAAATTATAATTAAATATAAATTAAGCAATGCTGATTTGTCAACTTCTCCATGATTTTAGGTATGTTTTCTTATTTATCATCTTTTAACGATTTCATATATAATTTATTATATAATAAAAATGATATTATATTAATAATATTATATTTTTAGAAAATAAAAAAATCCTTATGTATTAGATTGTTTTCCTAAAAATATAGTTTTTTATTATAAAAATTAAGTTAATTTGCTGATATATAACTTCTCCATGATTTAAGTAATTTTGCTTATTTGTCATATTTTTAATAATTTCATATATAATAAAAGAAAATTTCTATTAATAATATTATATTTTTAGAAAATAAGATACTCCATCCGTTTTAAATTATATGATGTTTAGATTTTAAGGTTTGTTTTGCGATTTTAAGGTTTGTTTCAAAATATAAGATGTTTTGAGATTTTAAGGTTAACTTTAACTTTATTGGAAACTGTTCAACTAATAAAATTTTATAGTCTTTTTATAATTAGTTGAATGATTATAAATTATATCTTTAAAAGTATGTAAATTTCTTAATTTGTGTGCATTAACCTAAAACATCATATATTAAAAAAAAAAGATGGAGTACTTCTGATGTAATATATTGTTATCTTAAAAATATTTTTCTATTATAGAAACAAAAAGTTAAGATATAAAAAATTATAATTAATATAAATCAAGCAAAAAA